CAGAGCCAAGACGGCGATGATGACGAGGCACTGCTTCACCACTCCCCTGGTGGAGCAGGGCAGAACCTCACTACTTGAGGAACCCTTCGACGCTTCGCAGGGTGATTTTGTAGTTGATGGAGCCAATGTTGTAGTTGATTCTTGGTTGCGAGGATTAAAAACCCATGCTGGACTGCTAAAGTTGGCGGTAGTGGTGTTGGAAGAATCAGTTGAAGTGGAAACTGGTCCTGTTGGTGTGGAGTTGAAGGTAGTTGTGGCAGGAACAGGATAGGATGGGGATGAGAGCTCAGTGCCGGTGGATCGAAAAGTTCCTGAGGTTGGAACTGCAGTGCTTTGAGTAGATGTACCCAAAGAGGTGGTGACGGGTACCTCCGTCTTAGAACCAGTAATGGATGTAGAATGTTGCGTAGGAACATGTGAGGCTGTAGAAGCTGCCACGTCAGTGAAAGTTGATGTGTAGGGATGCTCTGTTGTTTGATTTATTGCATCGGTCATCGTTGTAAGATTAGAAGGTTGTGCTTCACTTGTAGCCGTGCTCAGGGCTGTAGACGGTTGTAGTCCACTTCCAGTTGATGTGATTTGAGAGGATGTTTGCACATCAACTGTGGTCTTTGATGAGAAAAACTGTTCCGTACCGGCAGCAGTGGGGGTCGATGAAGATGCTGCTCCTCGACTCGCTGTGGTCACTGTAGCTGTGATTGTTGGCCTGACAGACTGTGGTCTGTCTGTAGTCATAAACCCCGCAGGCAGAGTTTGTTCAGTTGAAGTTGTCGTCTTTACAGGAAATACCTCCTTAGCAGTTACCTTTTCTGTCGGGGTGAGAAGTCTGAAGCTGCTAGTTGCTGGTTCAGCAGTTGTCAACTCGAGCCGCCCCCCAGCTGAGCTGTTAGATTTCTTTCTGATTCCATCTTCAGGGACCGTTGTGGGTAACACTTTCTGCCCTGCAGTAATATCTGCAGGTTTTGTAGGGTGCGAGGTTGCAGGCTTCAACACACTTTTGTGTGCAGTGACCTGTTGGGTGGTTGTGACGTCTGTTGGAGCAGTAATGTTTGTGTTACTGTTGTCTGGTGCTGAACTCGTCACAGGCTCCTCAGCCAACAGAACGCACACATACACCCCCCACAGCAGCAGAGGGCATATCATGCTGGATGGCTTCATTGTTGGATACAGAATCTGAAATTATAGGAAATATAATTTAGGAAACAATTAAAGGCATTAGTTAAAGATATAAAGTTCTGATGAAAAGTTAGGATGTCTCTTTTAAATTCATCATGAACTAACCTGTTCAAAGGTATACACACAAGTATACATCCTAAATGCAACCAGCAGGGTATATATAATGGCTAATTATATTTAGCAGCAGAAAATAAAACAGTAAACACAGCTCTGGCTGGATTTTCAAAACTTTTCTTAGCTTAATTGCAATTTGAATATTTTGATTTTACTCGGAATGGACCAAGCTTTCGAAAATTGTTCACAAATGTTCAGCTGGGGTGAGATCAGGTAAGACTCAGAAGCTTCTTGATTTTTTTTTTTACCTGAGACTTTATCTAGTTTCCATTGATCCTCATTTCAAAAATAGGTTGAAGAATGTGGAGGTTGCCCTCATCTTACATTCTTCCATCTTCTTTGTCCAGGAATAATCCAAGGAGCAAAACACATCCTCATTATGACACTAATACGCCATTCTTGGTATATGGTACTATTTTAAATCTTGAAATTCATACAAACATTTTTTGGTCAATATGGCTAAATTTGTCCATCTTCCTTCTGTGTTACCATTACACTTTTTAACGGAAAGCATCTGTCTTGTCCTATTAGGTAATTTTCAAATTTCCATCAAACTTGAATACATTGACTTTGAAGCAGGGGCTCCTCTATGGGGAGCAGGGGGCTACTGGTTAGAGAATTGCAAATGAGCCTGAGTTTAAGCCCCACACACTCCCACAGACTGCCACTCTGGGTCCCTGAGCAAGACCCTTAACCCCACACTGCTCCCCGGGTGCCGCACACAATGGCATCCCATTGCTCCCAAAGGGGACGAGTTAAATGCATTTCCTGTTTTATGTACTTTTAGTCAATGTTAATGTAAAACTATCTTTGCTGTGAACTGTGACATTTGTGTTTCAACATGCTCCAGATACCGATAGGATTGAGCCTTTGTTTGCTTCACTTGTTTTGATTGTTCTGACCATCTTTCAGCTTTCCTGATGTCCTTGACCCCAAAGAAGGAGGTCAAACAAATTAAATGAACTTTTCAAATTCTGACCAACTGACTGGCTAATGAACAGATCAGAATTATGCTGGAACTTTGTATATTTAAAAGAAAAACCCTAGTTAATATAGTCATGCACAGGATGAGTGTATATAAACTTCCCATTGGTACTACAGACAAGCGGAAACTGTGTACCAATGACATCCTACATATAATGAAACCACCATGAGGCATCGCCACACCTATTTGCTTGATTTTCACAGAAAAATATCAAAGAATTACAGCAAAAGTAGATATTTGTTTACTCTATCCAGGTAATGAATTGCTCAAAGTCAGTATTACCATAATGCAATAAACTATGAAGTTGAGGAACTTATCCCAATCATTTCTACTTAACTGTTCTATGCATGTACAATAAGCAACCAAATTTATCTCAAGGAGTATTTCATGACTCAACAGCTGAAGTTTTACCTTGTTGCTGGACGTATCCGATGCTTAATCCAAAAAAAAAGTTCACATCAGCTGATTTCAGGTGTTCTTTGCGTTTGTCCTCAAAGCACCGATATGGTGACTGTTGCTCTGCTTGATGACAGAAACAGGAAACATGTAGAGAGAATACATGACGTGATATCACATCTTTAGATGGCTTAGAAACGATGAGACACTTCCCTTTGAAATGCACACCCCCATGCATTAACCAGAATGAGGATTTTAAAGAGACCATCATCTCTTAATTTAACTCTTCAATCAGCAGTTATGGGAGCTTGTATTTATTAGCATGGGACTCACCTGACAGATTCAAGATAGCAGAGAGCTCAGATCCACTGGTGTGGAGCGTCCTTTGCATGTCTAGATTACTGCTTTGTCTGAAAGAGCAGGAAGTGCTCAGTTCTGTAAAAAAAAACAGCTTGCTGTATGACAACCCTTAATCATAATTTTGCCTCAAACATAAAGCTGTATGTCATGTGGGAGAAAGGCGGTAAATGGGGGATTTCAAGGTCCTGACAAGTGACCACAGGGTCTGGGGATCAGTCACATGAGGACATCATTGTTTCTTGGAAGTTGTTTTTTCTTTCCTCTAAGAAAGCATTGGAATTAACTAGAGTTCCCTCTACAGTCAGTTAACTTTATTCTGAGATAATGTAGGGGTCAGATTAATGTTGATAGTGGTCTGACTATGTAACACACTGTTTAACTTGTTCTTTTTCTACAGCTTTAAACAACCGTATGGAAACAGATTCGTCCATCTTATGTGGAAACCATAACTGTCACTTCCTGCACTGGTGAGTCACCCTGACATGTGGTTTTACACAACATTCAGGACACTTATATGCTCACTCTGTTGTTGTTTATGGGTTACCATGAAGGTTTAAAAAAACAAGTAAATAAATACAGATCTGTTTATTTGTTTGAAATTAAATCTTGAATCTACTGTATATCCCAGATTACACATTCTCCATTTGACTCCTTTTATACTTTTGTTTCCTTTTTAATTATTGTAATGGGATTTTTCCAGCACATCCCATTTCTAATATTAAATTCTACTTATAAACAGAAAAAAAGAGAAAAGGGAAATTATAACTGCGAGAAATTTAAACAATCCCTCCAAATTGTAGCAAATGGCTGAAGCCCTCCATTATGAAACACAAAACATATGAATATGTGTACCTTAGCATGCCTTATGCTCAGTTTAAGAGGAAAAAAAGTTTAAATACATTTCTGTCATGCAACATATTTTTGGCAAACGCGTAGCTTTTAGAGGACGATAGTAATGTTATGATGTCCTTATGCTAAATGAACTATTGATAGCGAGCATCCATTTTCCTATCCGACAGCGATTATTTTGCTTTATCACTTAAAAACTTTGTCCTACCGATCTGCAGAATTCAAACAGACCCTATATACAAATTTTTACACACAAAAAAGACACTCCCTTATGGATGACATTGAATCCACCCATTTTTTTTAGGTTTTGCATCACTGAGGATAACTAAAATCATTTCTGTTTGTTAAATGCCAGAAAACTGAGAGGAAGAGCTATAAAGACTGGTAGGTAGGTATCTTAGGTTTCAGAGCTTTACTTGGGATCAGGCAATTAATTTGGGAAAGCCAAGAGGACAATGTTATGGCTTTGTACGTTAAACAGAGGCAAACTTAGAAATGTACACTGCTTTCTTCTGACACATCTTTGTAAAACTACAATAAAAAAGCCAATATAACAGTTAGAAAATGCTGAACCTGGTTCAGTCTAAAAGTACAATTTCCAGGTGCCTAAATCAAAATACAAAAGCAGAAACACTATGGGATTTCTAAGCAGTGTTACCTCTGAGAAGGGATACGTTTTATTTCCCAGGATGAATGTGTTTTGGTGTAAAAGGTGGGAATTAATCCCAGAACAAAAGTTAAAGAGATGGTGAAGATGCTGACTTAAGCTGGAGTCAAACCCCTTTGTGAAATGCCTCATTGACCAACAAGCCCTGAAATGCCACTCCTAAAGGAAGAAGCCATTACTCCTTAATCCACTTATAGCTTGCAACAACACTCAGTGACAAAGATCCACATTTTTGCAGACATTTCAGAAAAGGAGGGACCAAGGCATTTCACAAAATATATGGCTTCATAAGGAATAATAAACATACTGAAGAAGCAACACAAAACATCTCAACAGTCGTTATAAACTCTTACCAACCTGATTAGCTAAACTTGGACAGACTTGTCTGATGGCAGAAGTGAAATAGAGGAAACTGTTGACATTAGGATGAGATAAAGAGGAGAAGAGCCAGTGTTTTCATGTGAAAAACCTTTATTTATGTGCAGAGCTGTCTGTCGACGGTTCAGTAAAACACAGGCTGCCAGTGGGTCCTTCCCAATACCAACAGGTCATAGAGAGGGCAACTTTAGTTCGACAAGAGGCACCACACACCCACCCTCCATCTCTACACTGGGGCCTCAATGGTAAGTTTTAAAGCCACAAAAGGGTAGGAGAGAGTTGTTTTTAGGATGTCTTCCATATTCCTATAACTGACTGACACCAATAGGCGAACTGGTGGGAAGAAAACAGTCTGACAGCTAGCGTTTAAAATAAAAATAAAAAAATCCAGCTTGACTTTTACTGTTCTACCTTCTTGTGACTGGAATGTACAACAGCAGGGTAAAAAAAAACAGTGACGTAAAAGCAGTGCATGAAACGGCACACAATTCATATTTGGCAACACAATAAGAACAATGGAAATACTGATGCTACGGTTGTTGAGCAGTAAGTACAATCTTCACATAAGAATGTTTCACCACGTTTTAAAAAATAAAAACATTTAAGACTTCCTTTAATGAAAAAAAAAAAGAAAAACGTCTTTTTCTTAAAGATGTGAACATGACCTCTAAAAGTGTTTTCCCTCTTCTCTCTGAGGGAGTCAGGGCAGAGTGTGAAACAGGAGGACCGATGAGCGTAAAATAAAGATGGTCTTGGAATGTGGGGCTTGGTCTCGACGGAATGGGACCGACACCAAGCTCGGTCAAGCCGAATCTTGAGAATTTGGCCGCAGCTGACTGCTGAGGAAAACAGCAGTCCTGGCAAGGGTCTCTGCATCTTACATGGTGACCTTGGCGACCTGCTCTTCAAGTCGGGCGATCCGGCGGTCCTGAAGGATGACACGGTCCCTGAGTGACTTGAACTCTCGGAGTACCTCTTCCAGTTTGTCTTCCATTTTCTAAAACAAAACAAAAAAGTAATTTTACTGCTTCTTATTTGGAGAAGAGCAACAATAGTTTAAATAACAAAGCAGAACAAAACAACATCTGTTCATCCGGACAAGGCAGATTTGATCCGACAAGGGATGACGTTTATTTTCCCTGCAGCTGCATTAAACAGTGAGCCAAAAAAAGGGTTAGGTGCTGATCCATCATTTTACTGGATTTTCCTAACCAAAATTATTACTGTGAACAAGAAAAATGCCCATCAAAACATCACACTAACTATCAAAACAGATATCTTTAAATATTCATAGTGAATTTTCCTACAAGCCGGTTTTCCTGCATTCACTTACAACAGTGGATTGTGGAGAAGCATGTTTCTGGATGGTGGGGATGCTTTCTACTTTCGTTGCTGGCTTGCTCTCCAGGATGTTCGTTTTAACCACCTTCAGGTCCCGGTTTTTGGTGGAGACATAGCCGTCTTTGAGAGAGATCAGGATCGGGCCTCCGTTCTTGCCGGCGAACCACTCCTCTGCCTCCAGGGCGGGATCGGGGCCGGCCGTGTCCGGATACAGGTCATCCTGGAACAGGTCAGACTGGGAAGGCGCAGAGAGTCACAGAAAGGTCCCAAACAAAAGGGGAAAATAATTATAATAGCCAGCACAGAGAAATGTAAGATGAGATGGATTTAAACCAACTTACCTTACGTGGGACAGTCATGATGATCGGTTCACATTTTCTCTCATGCAGTTTATAAAACCTAAAGACATAAGAAATAGTAAAAGGTTATTAGAGGCAACAGAATACATATCCAAATGCCACTTTTATCCCACTTTTATTTAAAATATATACATGTATATATATATATATATATATATATATACGTATATATATATATATATATACGTATATATATATATATATATATATATATATATATACGTGTATATATATATATATATATATATATATATATATATATATACGTATATATATTAAAGTACAGCTTTTGGTGCTGAAACTTTGAGAAAATTTGATCCATCCTTGAATGAGTCATGTGACCCAAAGCGTACCCACTTTACCGTAATCTGAGAGTTAACACTAGAAGTTATTGTTGTGTAACACAACCTACCAGATCAGACATATTTTAGGTTCCTTATGTAGATTTTATCTAGAAACAGCAGACGTGATGACGAAGCGGTCTGCTTTCTGGTTTGCAATATTATGGGACAGTGCAGTGCTGCCAGTGGCCTTTAGGGGCGCTAAACCGGGGGCCTGGAATTCTAGTGCACCCTAGTGGGTTAAAGTTAGTGTTGATTTAACATAGATTCTTTAAAGAGTTTTCACTGATGTCTCAGTCAGGGATATCACATGTTTTTTAAATCTTGAATGTCCTTACTTTTACAGATTTTCACCACTTCCACATTGACATATATGCTGCAAATTAAATAGTTTCTGTTATATTTGCACAGGAATTGCAATTCTCAGTATAGTTTTTCAATATTAAAAAACACAAGAAAGACAGGCCAGTTGTGAATTTTTAAAATATTTTTCTCACCGTTTCCCACCAACATTGACATTTCAGTCAATGGTGAAAATGTTAGAGTAAAAAAAAAATAACAGAATCTAGCAACTTAAAAAGATATCTGAAGGATATCTTAGTGTCAGGGATCATACCTTCACTAACAGGGGCCATCGTTCTCTCGTTTAAATGCTCCAAAATAACTATATATACCGGAAAAATGATCTAAAAATAAGTTAAAAAATTCTTAAAATAAGTGTATCCACCCTTAATTTGAGTAGGTAAATAAAAATCTGAAAATGGATGACTATCTTCACTCTTAAAATAAGGAAATGAGATAATATGCACTTGAATAATACAATGTTATAGTTTTTTTTATTTTAAGGGTAAATTGTATTATTCTATTGGCAAAATGTCTCACTTACCTTGCAGTTATAAAAAAAAAAAAAAAACATTTCAATTTTTTGCATTGTAGAAACCAATCTCTTTTGATTTGTAATGATCTACAGGGAAGTGGAAAGAACTCTAACATGCTTAATCAATACGTCAGTTTAATTTTTTAAACAACATTTTTTTTTCTCATCATTCTCTTCTCCTTTTTGAGGTCACTTGGTCATGCATTGCCATGGAAACAATCCTATTAGCAGTGCTGACTAGGAACTTTTGTGTTCAATCAGCCTTAATGGGAAAAAGCCATTCTGACTGAAGGGAGGGGGTGATCTGGGTTTAGTTTATTGTGTGGTATCAAGTTAAATTTACCTATGTAAATCTTTTCATTTTAAAAAATGTAATTAAGTTTATTTAACTGTTTTTTTTTATTTTTAGAATGTGACCTCTACACAAATATGCTGTAATGCTTTCAGTATTTTATTACAGATGTAAAGTATGTGGTATGACTCTCTGGTGGTTGGGGAAGGGGAATCAATGTACATTTGCTTTACCAAGTAATTAACAATAATGCTTTTTTGAAAAATATTTAAAGAAGTTAATGGGATTATCAAAATAACCTAAATGTATAACACATGTCATTTTAGGAAAAATCACCAATTAGGCCAAAACTGCAGCAAAAATATATGCTTTTTGCATTTATGCAAATATGCTCTCTCCAGAACTTCGGTGGCAAAACCTTAGCTTTATCTGCTTCAAATTTTGTAGGAAATCTCCCAGTTAGTACCGTTTGCTATCAGACTATCAATATTTAAATATAAAAAAGTGTCAACATATCAATCAGTAAGATAATCTTTAGGTGCAGCCTTATTGGGGTTCTATAAGATTTTCCTATTCGGTGTATTTTTGCCACACTGTAAAAACAAAATGTTTAGATTTCGTCTGAAACCTGACACCAAATGACAGTTTTGATTATAGGGTTTCTTTTTTAACTTTTGTAGAGCCTATATATTAATTGTCATGTTTAAACTAGCATGAAAAAGCCACTTAGTGCCTATAAACTCCAATACATTACCTGGGCCCCTGCATACTTGTTGATATTATTTTTGATTTAAAATGAGTTGCTTCAGGCCTGATCAGGGTGGACCAGAATGAGACTAAATTCACATTTCTTTTGTTTTGGGATTCCTGCCTAAAAGCATCAACATCAACAACTTGTTAAAGAAAACTTATGAGTTATGTAATTTGACTTCCTTTGGGAATAGTTGAATGGTTCTGAATTTATGGAAAATCTAGTGTTGAGTTGCATTATAGTATACATGACATAACATTAGAAACACAAAATCTTTTTGTAAATACTCTGCTCCTTTTTCCTCATATTTACCCTTACTTGCACGGACAAATTCATCAATTCTTTGTTTTGTGAAGCTGTGCAACCTCCTCCCAACGCCAACTGATGGCACTGAGGTGGAGCAGTAATAATAAGAGCTTTTCTCTGCAGAGTACCACATGAAAAAAAAAAAAAACTTACATTAAATTATTTTTCAAATAAGTGTTTAATTGTTTCATTAAGTTTTTAATACTAAAGCAGGCGCAGGAGTTTACTCACTGCTCTTACATTGAAAAAATAAAATAAAAGGCATGTGGGTTAACTTTACAGACTTGCTTTGCTTAAACCTAAAAAAAAACAAAACAAAACAAGAAGAGCACTTCTTATATGAACAATATCAAAACCCAGTAATGAGTCCATACCTTGCAATTTCACATTTGTTGACATCCAGGCCTCTCTTGGGCATGTAACCCATGCCTCTCTGGGGCTCCTTTGTCGAAAAGGTGTTGAGATAATGAACATACGGCGCCTCGTCTGTGATCTCAAAATAACGAATGCTGCTGTCTCCCTGCAGGCACAGAATGTGTTAGTTTAGCGATTTAGCCCTTAAAAATTAAAGCTGAAGGATCTTTAGAGTCATCTACCTTCCCACATAAGTAGACTATGTTAGTGTCTGGATCATAGAACGGCAGCAGAACTCCATTACTGGTGTCCATCTCTTGGACACATATGGGCTCATTCATATTGTCCTAGAAAACACAGAGTACATATTTAAAGAGACGGTGCAGTGTAGATGGATGTTTAGTGGTATAATCTAGGATCAATTAGAAATGGAACCCATAAAAACTATGAACATGAGTAAATTTACTTAGTATTTACTGCCCTCTGCTGGAGATGGTGTGTTTAGCAGGAACTTTTGTCATGATGGAGCAAAATAATAAAGATTGGCTCTTTCTGATGTAATTATTATATAAAAAAAAGTTTAATTAAAAACCTGACTGGTCTGCATTTATAATGTTAGCCTCATCCACTGACTTTAGTTTAACTAATGCTAAAACATTACATTTGTTTTGACAATATATGCTTTTAAAATCTAATGATCTATTTAATAAATTACTGGAATAAATGTTTTTGCTTTATTGCATCTATTTCCAGTTTGATTAAAATTATGTATTTAACTTTATTCCTGTTTTCCTTTTCTGTCTCTTTTAAAAATCCCTGCTAGTGTCAGGATTTAAACTGGCTTGTGATCAGGAATTGGACAGAGTAGATTTCAGATTAAAGGGGACTAGATGAGACTGGCGATAAACACGTACAGATTTCCAAAGGGCCAGCTGACGCTCGCTCATGCGGCTGAATCCAGTAGTGAAAATGTTTCCGTCCGCTAAAAAGATGGCTCTCATTGGTCGAGCTCCCTCATGGGCTTTGTCCTTCTCCTAAATGCAGAAACACTCTTGTCAGGTCGTAAAACAGTGGTTGTTGGGGAGACATTGACCCTTTAATCCACCGCAGGATTTACTTACCACCACGATCTTCCTTTTACGAGGGTCGATGATGCGGACCTTTTTGTCCTTGCAGGCCGTGCAGAGCAGGCTGCCGTTACGACTCCAGCTGACGCTAAAGATAACATCCGGGTGCATGTCGTCCAGGCTGATCATGGCCTCTCCCGTCCCCACGTTCCAGATGACCACCTGGTTGTCACAGCCTGAGATGGAGAGGTTTATTTTTCAGAGCTTTACACAGCAATGCAACAGGAGCCATTCAAACAAAAGAAGTTTGGTTTAGCTGGTGGGCGAAATGCAGAGCAAACAGAGAGCTGTTTTTATTTTGACCTGATGAGTTTCAGTTCAAACTCACCAGCACTGAGCAGAACATTACGAGCAGTGGGATGCCACGAAACAATGCCAACCCTTTTAGAGTGGCCCTCTAAGACGACTACAGGCTCCGACAGGGAACCCTCCAGTCCGTGCTCTGGGATCTGCCACACCTGCATGAAATGGACAGAAATTAGGAACCACAGAGAAACCAGCTGTTAAACATTTAACCTGCTTTAAAAACATACATATATAGTCACCGTCTTACCATGACTGTGCAGTCCTCCGAGCCGCTGGCAATGACATGATCGTTATGAGGACACCAGTCGATGTCCAACACTGGGCCTGTGTGACCACAGACTGTTGGGTACGCCTTGTCTATACGGCCGGTCTAAAACACACAGCAGAGGGTTTTTAAAATGCCAGCAGATGCAAACTGACATGTGGGGTGTGCATAGCACCCGTTGGTGCCCAGTTTGAACAGATAGAAAGATAGACTGAAGGCTGCTGTTTAAAAATAGTGTTACTCTTGATAGCAGCAATGGATGATGGTCATTAGTTCACTGTGTGCAATAACTCGGTCATGTGCAATAATTGTAATTTGGTACTGAGCAGCATTGTAAATTATAAATACTGTCAATTGTATATAGTGGGATCCTTATTTTATTTTTATCCTTATCTTATTTTATTCTTATATCTTATTTTACACTGTTTATATGGGAAGGGTGTAACTTTACTGTGTGGGTTGTAATTTTACTAATTTTACTTATTTTATTCTGTCTAATTATACTATATTTTATTTTGCTCTGTTGTACTTACAATCTTATTTTTTATCTATTTATTAAACAGTTGTACTGCCAAAAAAGTAACTTCCCGCAGGGGATTAATAAAGTAATTCTGATTCTATCTTTTGCTATTCTCAACTGGAAAAACTTCCAACATAGGAAAATGTGTGTATTTCCTACAGAATTCAGCCAGCTGGTCGGCAGTGTACAGCAATGGAACATTTTCTTTATAAATCATTTTGAAACAACGGGATACATTATAGTGCTTATTAGCAGTAATAATGAATTCCGTAAAAATTCAAAAAATATCCACTGGACTTGGTTTTCAAGATTTGAAGACGTTTCGCCACCTCTCCAGGAAGCTCTCCAGGAAGCCTCTCCAGAAAGCTTCCTGGAGAGGTGGCGAAACGTCTTCAAATCTTGAAAACCAAGTCCAGTGGATATTTTTTGAATTTTTACGGAATGACTATGACCTGGATGACTGAGAACCTTCATCAGCATACAGTAATAATGAAGTTTGCGCAATAATTTTTATCTGGAACAGACAAAAAAAAAATAAAAGTAGAAAAGCTTTTAATGTTGTAGAGCAAAATTAACCTCATATTGTGACCTACACCTATGTCTGCATCAGGACTTTTGCAGCCCAATGCTAAAGCTGTCAATACCCACTGCTGCCACCCTCTGGTTTAGGTGGGAACTGCTCGTTTCCTCCATTAATTACTATCTCACAATGTTAAAGAATCATTTAAAAATATTAATCCAGTATCCAGATAATAACCTGGATCACCAAACTTTTATGGATTCCTCTTTGGCATGAGGAATACCTCTGATAAAAAATGTCATAAAATTTTTTTTATGTTTTCAAGTTAACCTATACACAGACAGAAAAACATAACCTCTTTGGAGGAGGAAAAAAAGGACTGCGAGTGTCTTATAATTAGATAAGCAGCATATTTTTTGCAAAGTTAACAACATGTCTGTTGTCACTCTTTAAACTCCTTTTTAAACTAAATAGCCCGGGCCACAACTGTGGTAGATGTTTGTGGCCTGGGCTATTGCTAGTTTAGGGACAAATTTGTGTTAATAAACGAGGTAAAGGTATATATGTTGATGAAATTAGGGACAATCATAGTGTTTATCAAATCTTTAGAAAACACTCCCGTTGCTTAAAGGTTTATTAACATCCAAGTGACATTGTCCAATGGGAGCTCTAATTATTGGATACTGAGGCTACCAGAATTTAAAAAACAAAAAAGTTCAAAATCCCAAACCAGATACTGAACGTCTGAATCCAATATTTAAAATCATCGGCAAAAAAACGCCACATTTAAACACCTTGTTCAAAGGAAGGACGAGAAATGCTCCTCCTCCGCTTGCATCTATGATGATGGCCACAAACTTGGGGTTGACGGCACAGAAGGAGCTGTCCCAGGTTACCCTGGAGACGCGGATGTCATCGTAGCACTGGTCGTTTCTCACGGCCTGACCAAACACGTGACGGAACTTGCTCTGTCGCACAACTCGCCGCGACATATCTGTGATCAGAAAAAAAAAAGATCATCACCAGTTACAGAAACGAAATATTAAAGTTGAACATAGAAGAATACCCTGAGTTAAATCTGGTGATCCTAATCAGTAGAAGTTTCCAGACCTGTGCAGGAGGAGAAAGATTAAAAACCTCAGAGAGAAGAGTATTCTTGTGCAAAAGCCTGATTATTTTCTGGTTTAAAGAGGGTTTTTACAAATTGTTTTTAAGAGCATTCTTCACTTTTCTGGCTAAATTTCAGAATCCTCAAATCCTTTTCTCCCCAGTCTTACAAAAAAGTATATTATAATTTACAGTAGGCGTTTTTTATAGAGGTTAGGCTTTACAGACAGTATTGGGAAACAATGATTTAAATGAATAAAGAAGATAAAAGAAAAGCATTTCTTTTAATTTTTTTATTCCATACCAAGCCATACCTGAAAATGATTCAAATCTCCTTCTATGCAAGCCCAACCTGGACTTTTCTTTTAATCCGCAGAATCAATTCCGATGCCTCCAATTAGATTGTGTTGTTTATTTTAGGGATCTATGGAATGGGAAGTAGGGGTGATGTTATAATTTTAAACTGCTGCATCAGTTCCTGTGAATGCAGCACAGATGGGTTGTTAGTGCAGCAGCCGTCTTGAAATGAACCCCATCGTTGATCTACATTAACAAACACATTTTTAATCAGCGTCGCTGGAAACACAATGTCCTAGCTGCTTCTTCGGCTCTCACTCTTCCCACCGTTAATTTCAAATCTCCCTTTTTGTGCTGTGAGAGGAAAAATTCGTTTTTAGAATTGTATTCATGTGTAAATGTCCCTTTTAAGCGACAAAGGGTACATTATTTTTGCTTTCTTTGGTTACAGGTCACAGCAGACCACCTGCTCCCTCGCATGCAAAGATTTTGAAAATGGAAAAGCTGACTCACCCCTCTTCAAAATCTGGATGTAATCCAAAAGGCTTGTCTAAAAACCAGACGGCAAAAAGCTGAACCATTATTGTACCACCATTACATTTTTTCTCATTTGATGCCATAACCATAACTAAAATAGCTCAGTAACTTGGAAACTTGACACCCATTTTGATGGGACTCCAGCATATTTTCAGACTGCTGTTGTTTCAAAGCCTTAAGATACACATTAAACGCCCACACATGTGCCAACTATTTGTTATGATTTTATGCTATGAAGGTGTGGGTGCTCACAGTCTGACAGTAGCCTTCCGTTTGGTCGCATCAGTTATACAATATTTAGCTTTGATTTGAACACATTTTACATTTTTCAAATCGTTTTAATTGCACATATCAGTGGTTTGCATGTCGTCAGGATCTAAAAGTCTAATTCTTCGATGGTAGGTTTTGGGTGTGCTTTAACCTTTGCAAGTCATTATTCCCCATTTGCAATATAATTTCAAGTACATTTCATAGTTCTGATGCTTCAGTCAATGTATGCCTCCCTTTTAATAGGTGTGTAGAGCATCCGTTACTGCCTGTTTAATCAAGACTAGGTGTTAACTTCTTATCATCATGAGGCGACGTCGTTATCCCTTTGACAACTAGTGATTAAAAGCATGTTTCTGTTTAGAATTTGAAAGATATGCTCTGCATCTCAAATCAGTAGTGTTGTACAACAGCAGGTCATTTAAAGGTACTTTGGCCCAACCAAAATAAAACTGGAACCATAAAGGAGATTTCTATATTTCTGTGGTTGGCTCCATCATTTATATAAACGAAAAGTAACCAAAAGTGGTTAAATAAATTGGCACAGAAAACTAACCAGGAGTTGATAGAAATAATATAAAAAAAAATTGGTAGTGTTTTTTTTGAGTCAATGCACTTGTGTCTCTACATTGCTGAATTCATTTTGAACCTCTAAAAGAGTTGATAGTAGGGCTGGGTGATATAGCATAAAAATATAAATTCTGATTTTTGTCCTATCAAATTTGATTAATATCTTTTTCCTCACTTAAGTTTCATTATAAAACTACAATAATATATGTATAACCTTAAAAAAAGAGAACATTTTATTTTAATCCTCCCCCCTGGGTGATAACTTTAATTTAAAGGTAAATGGAAGTCAAGCTCTGAAAAATGCTGTAAAACAATCATCTGTCACAACAAACTGAAAACATAATGCACTAAATGTTTAAAAGTAGTGGCATTAGTGAGCTAGTTCATTAGTTATTACAGGGGTGTCAACTCTCACCCACTGGGAGTGAGACTCTCACTCCGCAATTTCTCCCTATTTAAAACACTAAAAATTACATTAAAACCCAACTCAGTCTAGTTTAATAATCTCCCGTTGGAATTTAGGAGTAATTAAACAAACACAAATATTTGAATTCTTAAAGCGTCCAGGTTTGCCTCTCAAACACTCCACAAAAATAAAAAGAACCATTGCGTTTTATTTTTCAAAAGATAAGCCACCAAGAAAAGACCAACCACATGCAGAAAAAGATGTGCAGAACAGCTCAGTTATCCTGGGTTGATAGTGGAAAAACCACAGGAATTTATTATTATCATATTCATTTATCTTTATTTTGGTCCATTGAATATGTTTAAAAACTTTATTTCTATCACACCTTCCAAACTGAATAATCAAGAGAAGTGCTGTCTCCTGTCATGGTGAGTTTTTAGAAAATCTACAGCCTCCTAGAAGGTAATTTGTAAGAAAAACTAATAACATGAATAACATGAAGCTTTTTAATCCTTATCTTATTACCAAATATTCATACACAGTGTAGTTTGCACGGGTTTCAATTGCACTGGTTCCTATATCAGTGCCAGTAATCCAGTTATAGCTTATTAGTTTCCCATTGTTTAATTTACTTGAACTGCAGAGATCAATTAATAAACAAAGTTGTGAAATTCTTAGTTTAAAGTATATTTAAGATGCAAGTATTTTAGTAGGGCCCGTTCTGCTTTACTTAAATTCTGTTAAAAAACACCAGAATGTATAAAATAATTTATATTGTAAGAAAAATGTTCAACATAACTACAGACCAATTATTGTTACTCAGAAACATTTATTGTTTTATAAATATTCCACATTTTTCCACTTTATTTCAGTTAAATCCTCTGAAAACCTCCAACGTATAGCTGCACCTATCCTCATTTGAAGGTTTCCTGACAAAACTATTTCAAAATCTCACCCCAAGGTTTGGTGAAAAGTTGGCAGCCCTGTTATTAATACATGTTTTTGAACAAATAGGGATGGACTGACGTCAATGAGGTATGGAAGCCGAAGTAGTGGAAAATTTTTGCTTTTTCAAAAAGGAAATCTTCATAAACAAAAATTTTTATTAATTTATAAAATCGATTAATCACCCTGCCCTACTTTATAATAAAAGTAAATATGTTACATTTATCTAGCTCATCTTGCCCAATATTTTCCCCTTGCATCTTTTAGACCAATATTCTATTTAAGAGTGGTAATAACTACTTTATTCTGCATATTTATATCCATTTCAGTCACACTTGTGACATTTCAGGTCCTATTTTAGGAATTATATATCTGTTCTCACTTAAACAGTTCAAGCTTTTTCAGTTTTTATTTGCATTTACATTTTATAACCTATTGATGCATGTTTAGCAGGTAGGCTTTGGACATGGTGGTTCTTAATTGAAGTAAAAACCAATTTAATCACATGAACCGTCCAAAACCAGCTATCGCTTTAATTCGGTTCAGCCTATCACACCGCCCGGCATGTTGAACCATTTCAGAGTTTGAATTCCAGTTCGTGTTTTCAATGGATGCTGCGCAGGAAACGTTGCTGTTAAACAATGGTTACCTCGCAGGAACCGTTAGCAGCATTAGCTGCTATACTATTAAGCTATAATATAAAAAAAGACGTCACCACCAAATGATAAACATGTTAACGCTTTAGCAGTGGTGTAAAAATATATCTGCTAGACGCTACCAAGTGATTCATTTAAGGCTATAAAACCGAGAACGCTACTTAAACGTTAGCCACGCTTGCTAACCTATACAGGGTGGACTTTGAAGTTAGCATTCAGACTGTAGGGACTTTTAACTTGTGAAAAATATCGAATAGCCCACTAAGAATGATCATAATGAGGTTAAACATATTGGAATATATGATTAAAACAATATATGACTAGTGTAGACCAATTCAATGTTGTATTTTATCAAGGGAAGTTGTAGATTATGTGGAGGAAAAAAAGGTGAAATGACCCTTTAATCAACTGTCTAGGAAGCTATAAATCGTAAGCTAACTTCAATGTGGTGGCAGCTGGAAGCTGTAACGGGTCTGGTCCCGTCAACAGACTCCAAGGCAGGCGTTTCACCGTTAGGAGGCTGAACAATAGAAGCTGTTAGCTTTATGTGGAACTGCATAAGCATCCCTTCGCATTGGAAGTGTGTTTTGGATCCCAGCAGCTTGTTGGTTAGCAGAATTGCTAATAGTTTGCAGCGATGGATCGCTGCCAGCTGACGCAAGTGCAGAAATTTCCACCCAGTTTTTTTTTTTTTTTTGGTTGCTCCCATCCGTTGAGCTTCCATGGATGCTGCAAAGCTTACTGAATAAACGGAAAATTTGCGTTTCAAAAAGACACAGTTTAACCTTCCTTACCTTCTAAATTTATGCAAGAATTTCCAATGCACGGAGGGTGAAAAAGCAAACCTCAACACATGAATGTGGCAGTTTAGGCGCGCCCTTATCCTGCAGGACGGTGCTTTAGTATCCCTTGCCTCTGCTGGGAAAAATAAGCCCAGTTGCAAGGTTCTTAAGTACCTAAAGGTTAACGCTACCAGGGTTTAAACCGGGTCAAATATAGCAGCAAAAGCATCAGCTCTCCGTTCTTCACCTGCAGAGGACCAGCGGTACTCTATTCTCATCCCGTTATTAAATTCACTAGGATACATGGGGCTAATGCGCATGCGCAAACCAAATGCCAGATCTGATTTCTCAATGATCTTAATGGAAATGGGGGGTGTCAGAAAAGAACACGTCAACCTTTCCTTCTCATGTGTTTCATCTACTTTTCAGCAATTATATATATAAAAAATGATTTTATACTGAGCAGCATTTCCTGTGTGACCCCCTCCCCTTCCCATTTCCCTGCCCCCCTTCCCCCTTTAGTGTCTCACAGTTGTGAGGGAAGCATCCAATAAAATGATGCCCCCCTCAAAAAAGATTATTATTTATATAACCTTCACGTTTTCTTTAGGCTGGTTATAGACCAGGGGTGCCCAGTGTGGGCCCCGGGGGCCTTTTATGGCCATCTTATAAAACTATCTGAGTCATTAGTCATCAAATCTGTCCAACTCAGAGGCGTAGCCAGAAAATTTTTATAAGGGTGGCCAGGCAATAACCAATGTACACTGAGGGGTGGCTGATAGTGGATAGTTGCCAGAGCCTCACGGTCAAGCCAAAGATAAGACTAACTATACTTTCCTAAAGCCTTTGATAACAAATAGACGCGTATATTTAAACATCGATAATCATTCTGCATAAAATTGATACTTACAGGTACAAATCTCAACATAAATGGATTATTTAATGCGTTTTACGTTTTTATTAAAATAGGTGTCTATGATTTAACTGAAGACTCCTAGATGACTTGCAGAGAAACATCATTTTTTCTTTACATATAAAACAAAATCTAGTTCTGAAAAGAGCATGAATTCTGCACTTATTATCTTTAATGTTAGTATATTGATGTGTATAATGAACCACAGTGTTTTTTGTCAACAAATTATGAATACATTAAAAAATAGTAAGTAATATATGAAAAATGTAATTGAATATTCCACTTGAGAGTATTACTGCTGCCACAATCTGTATTAGAGGGAAATAAATGGTAGGGGTGGCCAGTGATTGGCTAACGGTGGCCATGGCCACCCCTGGCCCTCATCTAGTTCCGCCCCTGGTCCAACTGGCACAAGTTGGACACAGATGTATTCATTTTTTGGTATCTACTGTTTTTTTTTTTTTTTTTTTGCTTCATGACTAAGTAGAACTAAAAACATTAAGTTGCTTTTTTCCAAAAGATACAATAATCCTTATTTTGTTTTTATTCTTTATTTATAAAATAAATAAGTGGAAAATAATCAGCCCAAAATATTTAGGACTCAGCAAATGTCCAACAAATGTTGTCTAATTGCAGAACAGAAAAAAAAAAATACAAAGTTTGGTTTTTGTGTTGCTGATAAACAAATTAGCTTTTTTTAGCCTGGGAATACTTTTACCTTGACTATTTCTTGCCATCTTGCAAACACTTTAGACACGTGATGCTACATTTGCAGTTTTAGATTGAGTTTACCACAAAACAAAAACTTGAATGTGTCATGCAGCTATGAACACACAACTCGACATTTTAAGAAAAGGAGAAAAAAGCTGATTTAAATATTAAAACTTGAGAATTAATTGATAATAAACGTATGCCTTTCATTTCCTTTTAGTTTTCCATCTGCAAAAAAAAAAAAAAAAAAATCATAATTGAGTCGTTTTAAATTCTTTTCGATGTGGAACTTTTTTGTTCCGTGCTTTAATCTCAGAATTGTGCACACTTGTGCATGTCAGGAAAAGGGGGATTATTGGCCCAGTGGTTTAGAGCAGTGTGCATGTGCTTTGAGAAGGTTGCAAGTACCTGATTCAATCCCCACAGCCTCCACTCTGGGTTCCTCACCAGTTCCCTAACTCCACACTGCTCCACAGGCGCTGCGCAGTGGCAGCCCACTGCTCCGCAAGGGGATGGGTTAAATGCAGAAGTAAATTTCACCAATGGGAGATCAATGGGAGATCAATAAAATCAAATATTATTATTATAATTGGTCAGTCTAAAGTGTGTTGAAGTTTATAATCTACGTTTCATAGTTGCTTTCATTCCCATTTTAAAAATCTTTTTCTAGAAGACTGGTTCTATTAGGTCCTCAGAGATGAGCGGATATTAATAATCCACAGAAACACACTAGGATGTCTCTAAAAATGTCATAGTCTTGAAACGGTTTCATAATGGCCCAATATTTTCAGGATGTTCTGTCGCACTATAGTCTTCATTAAAAGAATGTAAATGCAAATATGTTTTCCATAGGGATTGGGATACTGATTAAAGTATAAGATGACCAGTAATACACCATTTTAGTAAAAAAGTCTCTTTTTAACCACCAGTTTTCTTAAGCTACACTCTTTAGCCACTATAGAGTGTAGCTTAACATTTAATACTCTGCTCTTTTTGTTTGTAAATAACTTTAAGGTATAGTGGAGGATGTTCATTTCTGGGTGGATAATCAAAATAAGTAGTCCTCCTAATTGTCAATTATTCTGGTGATATGTTTACATAAGGCCTTCCTATGTGCACATCGCCATTTTCACTTACCCGTGGTGAGTCTGACATAGTGGGAATATTGCAAATCTTTCAAAAAGTAAGCTTGTATGAGCGATGAAAAACAGCAACAGAAACAAACAGAGTGTGCACTAGAAGAAATGGGCTTGTGCATGCTCTCACACACGTTTAATAGGCATCGACTATCGAGAGTAGGTACAGGGTTGTGCAAGTAAAGTTTTTTGTAAGTATAGAGGGCAGGTCTTTTCAAAAGTTTGCGACAATTCTTCACTATACCTTTAATACTTTGTATCATCTGGTGATGTAGGTTGGCAAAGGGGGAAAGCATGGAGAAATTTGAAGGAGGAATTATCACAATATTATAGCTCTGGAAAGTCTATTAAATATTCTATTATTAATTAATTACATCTATTAGTGGCATCTGATCAGCTGTGCAGTCCGTTTTATCAAAAGCAAAAAGGTTTTAAAACGTATGTACTGATTTGGAAAATTTCCAAAAATGTCCTTCTGATAACAGACATGTTTTACCCAAAAAATACAAAAAACTGGGTGGGGACAATAGTTGTTGTACAGCTATTGGCTCACCAGAGTAGTAGTTCTTACCTTTCTTTGGAGCTGTCTGCACTTCCGTTGGCCTCTCCTTAGATTTCTTCGGGATATCAAAGGCATTCTTCATTTGGGAAACTTTCAAAGTAGGGTTCTGCTCTACCAGACGAACCTGAGCTTTGGGCACTTCGGGTTTGACCCGGCTCTGCTGTTTCTGCATTTGGTTTGCTTCTTTCACAATTTCTGCCACCGGTTTGTATGAATCCACCTCGCTGCCTCTTTCTTTGTCTCTGCTGCTGATGGGGCCTGTGAAATCTTTAGGACGCTCACTCTGGCTGTTTTCATTGATCTGGATGTGGACCCTGTCAGGTTGTTGATCGTTTTTTTCTATAGGATCAACAATAATTTGAGAGCTGGTCAGAGTATGCTGTGGCCTTTCCTTAAAAGGAGGAGGTGACCATTTGCGCCTGGAGCGCCTCTCTAGGAACACTTGCCTCTGCATCATGTCCAGGTTTTGAGGCTCTTCCTCTGGTGAAAGCTCTGTCATTCGGACACAATAGTCATAATCAATCATATCCCCAAACCGATCATCCTTTTCCCTCAGAGACAGATGGTCCCAGGGACCGACATCAGCCGACAGTCGACGAAAGTTAGCCGGTACAGCATACGTGCCCCTTTCATCCCAAAGCATGCACATGTCCTGATTAGTTGGTGTGCTGTAGAGAAGATCTTTGTTAAAATGAAATGTGTGTCTCCTCTTGGCCCTGTCCTCTGATTGCAGATGGTCTTTGGCTCTTCTTTGCACATCATTAGATACTAGCTGTGCAGTTTTGAGCTTTATGAATGGGTTTTTAGGTTTTTTGGGAACAGGAGGAGGTGGACCTTTTGGTCTGGATTTTTCTGCTGGCATCAAATCATTGTTGGAAGAGGATGAGGCAGACAATGCTTCTGGAGGAGCTGATGCATTGTCAGAGCTCGTCTTGGTTGTGTCTTTTTTAGGTAAAACATGAGTTAAAGGTGGCGGTGTGACAACTGCAGAGAAGCAAACAAGCTCACTCTCCTTCTTCAGGCAAGCGACCTGCATCTTTTCATCGCAGCTCCTTGCCAGCGACGGAGAAGTCATAGTGTTAGTTTGTTCCAGTGTAAATAAGGGTGCATCTTGCAGATGTGGTTCACCAGAGAGAGAGGTTTCAGGCTGTGAAAGGCCGGCGAATTCATCAAAGACTTTGCCCTTTTCTGTTTGAGAAGAAGATATAAGATTGCTCTGAACTCCAGCTTTGGCCCTTTTTGAGACGGCCCCAGCAAACTTGTTCACAGGGCTCTGATCGGCTTCTAGTCGCTGATCTTTACACTTTTTTTGCTCCTCTCTCATACGGACAACCTCTGTCGTACCCTCACCAGTTGTCTTGCTCTGAGCAGCCTGGACACAGCTTGCTCCTTTTAGCTGACACCTGCTGCCTGTCACTTGAGCCAAATCACGACCAGTTTCTGTCCCTAAACTGTAGCGGTGTGAACTCTTACCATGTACAACATCATTACTCTTCTCTTGAGTAACCCTGGAAGGCTGGGAAAGTTTGGAGTCACTACAGCTTTCAGAGCCGTCCTCCTCCCCTCTGGGTTTGCTGTGGTGACCTGCGGTGTTGCTTTCATTCGACATCCACTTCTCATCTCTTTCCAGAACTACAAAGTCTTCTTCGGTAGGAGGTCTGCAAGAGGTTGTTGAACTCTTGCTGCTGTCGGTTTCAGGGAAATTCTGATTTTCTGGCTCATCCATTGCTGCAGTACCAGTCCAGGCTGCAGCCCCCTGTTCAGAGCCTTGCTTTTTGTTGCTAGTTTGTGTCTTCTTAAAGCTCAGGGTTCTCTTTGGCTCTGCAACAGTACCAGAGACTGCCCCTCTGCCTGGAAACACCCACTCCCCTCTGGAGTTCAGAAGGTGTTCCTTCTGACTCTGACCACTGATTGGCTGCCCACTTTGGGGGTCTGTACGTGAAGAAATGACAGCCAGCTTCCCTAAATTGATTCCCCTAATCCCACCAATGCTCAGACGAGAAAATGCAGAACTGTCATCCTCCTGATGTCTGCCGTCGTCTTGTTCGGCAACCTTAGACAGACGCGTGTCTGCCGTTTTCTCGGAGCATTCAGAATTATCAAGGGATTCTTCATCCTTTTCAGACACCCTCTCCAACTTCTGCCCCATGACTGTTTTTCTGTTGATGCAAAGCAAAACACATACATGAAGGACTGATGCTTCTCTCACATGATAAAAGTGAAATCACACTGTAGAATTTAAAGTCAATCTTTAGGAATCTTGAATTCCTTTTGCATTTTTAAATATTTCTCAACTGGTCCTATTTGGCTCCCCAATGCTCCACTATCTCTCTCTCTCTATTCTGTCAAACAGGAATGTTGCAGGGGCTATAATTAAACAGGTCTGACCACTACCAGTGAGTCAAGAGGCCAAAAAGGAAACAGGATAAGCTTGATAAGAGGTCAGCTGCTAGGTGCCAAGGTCAGATATGATCCAATGATCCCAGGCCTGCAGACAAATACGTCAACTAAATAAATAAATCTTTTTTTCCCATGGAATTTAATCAATGAGTTTTATTTTTCTGTCAAACCATTTTTTTCTGTTATGGGAACGCCTGCTGTGTCATGATGAACCCCATGTTGCCAATAACCACTGTATATACACGGCTTGTTTTTGCCGTGCGAGCATCCTTTCAGACTGTCTGAATGTTTACGATTGTTTTGGTGACGGGGTCCATAGAAAGGTCGCTGGGAATACTTCATTCGAGTCACAAAGGCTCTGACACATGATGGGAATTGTTCACCCTGTGGTTTGATGAGCCCGTTTTAGCCGCAGACATGATGGATGCTGCATGTGGGATTATAACAAGGGGAAAACAGCTCAACTGACTTTACTGTCAGGTGGTCAGGAGTATTTTTAACGTACAAAGAAAGCAATAAGTCTACACAGCAAAATCCCAAAAGAATGAAATACCTGGTAATTCTATTGATAGAACACAAACTATAAAAGTAATTTCAATTTATCAGATTGATATCTGATTAATGCAATTATAATTCTAGTGAAGCAATGCTGCAGTTTTTTAAATGAAATATTTTAGCAGGTAAATTTAAATGGTTCCAGTGTTTTGAAAGGCTCACAAAATGAAATTTAAATCTATAAGAATGTTTTTTTTTTCTTCTTACTGGTAACAAGGTGTGAAGGTAACAATATTTTGATGTTTGCCAAACCCTGATTTTTTTTTCTTTCCAAGAATAGTTCTAACTCAAGTGGATTAAATGGATAGCATAATATTGCAATTCTTAACACGGATTCCTGCTTCACTGGGCCATTCTAAAACATGAACATTTTATTATCTAAGCATAACTCTGGGTGTTTTTTCGTCACCATAGTCCCGTCAGCAGAACTTCTAGCTGGTTTTCTTCCAGGTTTGAATGCATTCAATTCAGTCTATGTTACAGTTATTCCGAGCAGCTGCCTTGTTCATGCTTAAGAAAGTAATTCCTATAGCATGACGCTGCCAACCCCGTGTTTCACTGTGTGTAGTGGACTAAAGCCTACAGATCTTAAAGCTACATTTGATCCCTAATGATTTGTTGCAAAATATATATAGAACGGAAAGGTGTTTTTGGATATACAGGCATGAAAAAAGGTAAGTTTTATCTGCTTTTCTGTGTGTTTTATGCAATATTTGAAAAGACTCTCCACATTTAAATGGCATTAATGGTATTTGATAATTTTTTGTCACTAAACATTTCTCCAATTTTTTTTCTGTTTAAAAGTTTGAAATTCTAAAAAAAAAGAGATAAAACTTTTGTTGTACCATAAAAATAACAGGCATTTTAGAAATGTTTATATAAACTAACAAAAAATGTAAGATTGGTAGCTCTAGTTTAATTTGGAAGGATTTCGACTAATATGGCTCTTTGGATCGTTGAAGGTGATGACCACTGACTGTAGAGATGGTCTGTGGGCATGTGTTTTTTCCTTCTACTCTCCCATAAAAGTCAACAATTGTATTTTCCAGATCTAAAAGTTTTCCTGTTGACAGATTTGTATGGACAAAGTTTATCTGATTCATGCTATTCTTGAACATTCTGCCAGTTTATACAAACAAAAAAACATTGATAGTTGTGTGATGTTCTTTCGTAGTTCTGGATAATAAATAAAAAAAGTCTTTTAAAGATGCACAATACTTTAAATATGGTATACACCATAATCCTGCTTTAATTTACTCAACTTTATCCAAGTGTCCATTATTTTATTTCCTCCAAGCTACAGGATAATGGTTGCTCATTAAAATTCTCTAGCAAATGGCTACGTCCATAAAACCTTTTTTTTTTTATTTGAATTTAATTTAACTTCAAAATTTTGAGCTATTTTTAGTTTGTCCATCATAAAATCCAGATAGAAAACATTCATGTTTATCTTACATAAAATAGTCAAAAGGTGCAAATACTTTTGAAAGGTACCAATCCTTTACTTTTTAACTGATTGAATGTTACAACAGACATGCAATATATTTGCTCTTATTCCTCTGTAGAACATAATGGAAAAGAATTTATTAAGGCTAGCGATAAAACTATATTGATCTCACAATGGAGAAATGAACTTGTGACATCAGCTCTATTGAACAACAGGAGATGCAATAGGAGAAGGTGCATCAAAGACAAAAGTGTACAAAGTCAAACTGAATATATCTAGTGAATAGGTAAAAAAAAAAAAAGCTGTCACATGTAGATATATACATATATATATATATATATATATATATATATATATATATATATATATATATATATGTATATCCCATGCACCTTTTTCTTCCTTTGCACATTCTTCTTCTCCTTTGACTATTTGAGCTGATGTAACAAATACATTTCTCTACTGTGAGATCAATAAAATCAATCAATCAATCAATCAATCAAAATTAAAGAATAGAGATTAACAGTAAAGTTATATTTTTTTACATTAACTGTTATTCTAAAACAGATAATCTTGAAATTGAACCATCTATATAAATGTCAGAATCATTGAAAGTGAGATTTTTTGACAGACTCGTGGGAGTACTGCCATTTTTAGGGTTAAAGTCCTCATACTCCTGTATCAGCTAATATGCCAAAAGTGCAGCTCTGCTCATCAAGTGTTTGGTTGACGCTGGTTTAACAGATCGACAGATGCATTCTCTTACAGCTTTAGTGCAGCAGAAGCGTTATTTTGAGATGGATGTGTTAAAATGGCAGCAGTGGGAGGCATTCATGGTATTGGCTTGTGAACCCCCCCCATTCTCTCTCTCCGCCCGTTTCCCCTGTCTGTGTCTCTCATGCTTCACAGCTTAAGCCAAAACTTTATAAGAGCCTTGTGACCAAGAGTACCCGCACTATTAACTCCATCTTAGAGAGGCCTTGTTTTTCAGTAGCAGGTCTGAGACTATCATGTCTGTAATGAGCTGGAATTCAAACAGTTGAAGGTGATATTCAGATGTCTGATCAAACTGCACAGACACATTTACATGCAGTCATGCGAGACAGAACCTGTGGTCATAAAGAGCTGCAAATTTCACTTAGAAAAACTCTAATCCTGTGGTTTCCTATACTTGACTGATGTATTTCTTCATGAAAACTCATGTTTAAAGATTTGACACATGTGGCTCTGCTGTATGTCTCACACAAAGGTTGTTTTATAAATATAGGAAAAGGAAAGCATTAATTACTCTAAGTTATAAATGGACACAAGAGCAATAAAAGCAGTAATGTTTCACAGTTAATGACAGAGTTAAAAAAGGGTTTTGCTACCTTTAGAATATCTAAACGCCTGAGAGGTAACAGAATAAAGGAGGCGGATACTTACCCACGATGATGCTGTGTACGATCGTCGTCTTTTAGGATTTTGGTCTGTCTGGGAGATCACTCCTCCAGCAGTCACCTGCCCCGTTATGTCAGCCGGGCCTCATTTGACTAATTCAATAAAAGGGCCTTCTGCTCCGTCCATTTGACTGAGAGAGACAGTCAAAGCAGAAGCAGGCAGACCTGCTCTGTGCTCTTTATTATCACATTCAATGCTTCTTTAATAGCAGTTTCTCCCCCTCATGTTTTCCCCATTAAATCCATCTTTATATTTGGACATGATTTATTTCAGTTAATAGTTTTCCTTTCTCTGAAATCCATTCTATGAACAGTTTTAACCAGACACACTATAAAAAAATCACATGACATTAAAATATGCCTAAATGTCTCCTGTTTTTGGTCAGTTTCTGTTAGGTAGACATATAAGATGACTATGCTTTTAAAGAGTTTAGCAAAGGCATTAAAATAGTTTAACTCAGAACATTTAAAATGACTGGATGCCAATTTGTGGCCAAAATGTATGTTAAGTTAGAATAAGACACATAGTTTGATTTTTTTCAAAAAAACGAAAGCAATAATCAGCCAAGATATCATGATGAGAATTACAGACCTGCTTCATTTTTATGCAAGAGGGTATCGCTTCACAAAATAGATGCTTTATGAAGAGGGAAAATTAGATGGAGAATTCTGCATGACATCTGTCAGGATTATTTTTTTGTTGTTGCAATAACTGTCATCATACAACCAAATTGGTTAAAAGATTACTTTAAGGACACAAAGTGAATGTTTATGGGGTGGCTGCATAGATGAGTAGATCTAAACAAATAAATTCTCAAACCTGATTCATTTACACCTGTTTCAATAAAAGAAATAGGCCAAAGCTCGAAAAGTGAAAAGCTTCAAGGACTCCCAATATTATACCCCTGTTATAGAAATCTAAAAGGTGATTCTGGCAAATTTATTTAAAAATAGGAAACTCTCAAAAAAATGCTCACATATCTTGCATTTTCCAAACTATTGTAAAAATATTGTAAAATTATTACCGGTATTGTAGATTAAGGTACACCCTGCAAGGTTTATCACAAAGCTACATTATGGGGTAAATTATTCCATAATTTTGAAATTGCATTTGCAAAGCGTTAGTCACTTGCTCTTAGTGATCAGTGTTTTAAATTAAATGCTGGTGCTATATTTTAAAGATAATTTGGCAAGATTTGATGCATTTAAACAAAATGAAACAATTCTCAACATGATGCAATGCTTACTCATAGGTGTGCAACATAACTTTTTTTTTTAACATTAGCATAATCTATAAGAGTCACTAAAATTCAGCCTGTAGTTTTAAGTTTTACTCCCAGTGGAACAAAATAACTAAAAAGAATATTGGTAAATATATAAAAGAGACCCCAATAAGTGGTCTCTAAACTGTGAATTGAGAAGGCCAAATTAGAGAGCCGTTACGTGGCATGTAAGATGTTCCTGTACTCACTAAGCAAATAAACAGCTTAATTCTCAAATTTTACAGAAAAAAAGCATTTATTTCCATTATATACATTAGACTGGACACAGTTTGACAAACTGTAAAAAGGTGCATACACCCGAACACTGATACAGTACACAAAATGAACCAGAAAAAAACAAAAACAAAGAAACAAGTAATCAGCTTGCTCTCCAGGTGTCATTCTCACATGCTTTGGGAAAATACTTGTGCTCTGTACACTAAATAACAACAATACACCCTTTAGTTTACAACAGACCCAACAGCTGTCACGGTTATGTCGGGCTTATGATTGGATTGTCCTTTTGCCTGCTATTTGGCACTAATTCACCTGAAAAAAAAGAGAAAAAAATCATAGCAGGAACATGTTTTCCCAAAATTACCATGATTATGACTAGCAACAAAATTCACAAGTGCCTCTTGATACAAAGCAGCATTATTAGCATTATTTTCTTAATGTTCTCATTACACTGATGTACTGTAGAAGAAAGACTTATGGAGACTTTTACATATCAAAGTTAAATTCTTAATTTGTAACAATTTGATGCAAATGTATTTTATACCAGAAAATAATGTTCATCAGTCAGCTACCAAAACCAATGCAGCATACAGCAAGCTTGACAATGACAAATCAAGTATCAGTATTGGCTTATAATTAATGGAAGTCCATAAGGTATATTTTTTAGGGAAAGGATGATGTTTGCATACAATATTAAGTTAAATACTGCAAAAAAGTACAACCTTTCAAGGATTTAATGAAAACATAAAAGTCAGCGACAAATTTACAGAAAATCTCTCTGCAAAGGCTGTAATGCTTCACAACCGAGCTGCGGACACAATTAAGGCACTTTAAAATGAAAGAATATTAAAATGAGAGGAAATTAAATTTGGTGCCGTGATTTGGAAACAAAGACTTTTAGATGAGTATTAAGCAAAGATGCTGTCAAGACTCTCAGTAAATCAATAGCTACTGAAGGAGACAGGTGTAGTTGCTCATACAAAACGTTACAAAAACAAAGGCCTCTTGAAAACTGTAATCTTTCCTAAACTTCATTCTCATTTTGTACCTTCTACTTCCATTAAGTATTCCTGCACCAGAAAACCATGCATGTCAGTGTTTACTAATAATAATAGAGAAAAAGATTCATCATCAAACCAATCAGTGTTTCATTGTAATGTTGAATATTTTCTGTAGATTTTTTTATAATCTGGTTCTGATCTCTATTTGGGAGATTTAACACTATGATATGATCCCAAATAAAACTAGAATAACTTCACACTGTTGGAAGCTGGAGAAGTACCACCTTTCTCCAGCAGAGGCCGCCGTGGATCCTCCTGAGCTGAGCCTCCTTCACAGCTGCAGCCCATTCCATCATCAGAGGATCCACTACTTAAGCTGCTTCAGAACTTGCCTCAACGCCGCAGTGTTGATCCAGTTGGTTAGCACTAAGCCTAGAACCTTCTGAGAACTTTTGTTGACTTTTGAATCCAAGCTGGATTCTAACCTCTGTCTTCCAGGAAACCAGTCTTTCTCCTGTGAAGCTCTGGAAGAGCTTAACCTGCCAAGCCTGCCCTCTGAGCCAAACCTGAAGCCTGCCTTTGAACTTCCATGCAGCCTTGGATCAAGAGCTGGAAACCCTGAGCTTAGCTCTGTTCAAACCCTAAGAAGTAAGACGCTGAAGCAGCTTTTGGACTCTGCGAACCAAACTCTCTCCAGTTCCAACAACCTTCCTCTCAAAGCCTTAATCAAGGACCCTCAAGGTACAAGCCTGAAACTATCTAAAGACAAATCTCTAAGTGCCCCGCTAACTGAACTGTCTTCCCAAGCAGACTCCGGTGAACCCGTGTCCCTGGACCAGAACCAGAACCAGTTATCATTGTGCTTTGTGACAATAAACTCTGTTAAACTTTTACACCTGTTTCCGTCTAGTGGTGTTCTGCATATTTGGGTCTCTTTTGAGAACCCATCATGACACACATAATCCCATTTTAATGCAACATATCCCAAAGACCATTAAGAGAGATAAAAAAAACCCTGATAAAGCTACTCTATATCAAACAAAAAAAGATTGTAAAAAAACAATGATATGAACAATAACACTGGATGGGACATGAACCTCATAGTTCTCGATAAAAGAACAAGAAGTCTAAGGAAAGAAGTAGAGTTTTCACAAATACCAATTGATGTTAATAAATAGACCTAAAGTGACATTTTTTTTTAACAGACAGAAATAAAACCTCTCATGCAGGCACATGTTTGGGATTTAAGCAAAATAATATATCCAGGATTCTTTAATATCACAGTGGAACTATATGGACTAAAATTGGGCAACTGTATAATATAAAAAAAAAGATTATGCTACAACTAGCTAATGGTTTGCTAGAGTAAAACATCACAGCATGGTACAGTTAAGATGTATAATATATAATTTAGTCAAATATGTGAAAAGGAATGGCAGCCCAAACTGCCATACTAGGTAAATGTTTTGAAGCTGCAGTTTCCTGCTTCACCACTAGATGTCATAAGATCCCAACAAACATGTTTGGATCTTGTGGCTCTAAAATAAACTAAAGGATTTTGTCAATGCTAACAAGAACTAATCAGAAACAACTGCTTGCAAACATTCAACTCCATAATATGTTCTCTTTAGGATTGGACTCTCAAATGTGTGGCATTGTTTTATGCAAAAAAATACTTAGACAATGCTCAGTCAGTGCAAGGAACACAACAGCTTGAGAGAAACCCAAAGTAACCTAACCTGAACAAACTTGCAGCTCCCTCAGAATCAGTTACAAAACACTGGATGATTTTTAAGACATATAAAAATATTTAAAGTAATACAGAAAAGGTAAATACCATCAATATTTTTTCCAGCTCTTCTTTTTGCCTAAAGTGCTCAGAACAGTCAGAACAATATAACTAACATGCTTTTTCTGCACACAAACAGGCATCATTCAGCCTTAGCCCTAAACAAGCAGAACTCATCATCAGCTACACAGCACAAACCTGAAGAGGAACGAATCATGGCTCAACTTCCGATAAATTGGACAAAAATTGGACGATTTGGGCTAGATGCCCATGTAAAATAGTTTATTTATTTTTTTAAATAAAAAGCGGGCAAAAATATTTGAACAAATCAGATTTGTCAAAAACTGCATGTTCCATACACCATTCACAGTCTGGAACATTAATAGTTAACAGAAATATGGAATATTTTCCAACTTTTGCTAGAGTTTCACCTTCTTTACAAAACGGATGATTATTATCAAAATGTCTTTAGATTAAATATTCTGTAGCTATATTTTTCCAAAAACAAAAATATTACTGACCAAATCAAATAGCACTATTTCTATGCCTGGTCGATGCACAAAACTTTACAGGCTTGAGAAAGCCAGCAGGACTAACCTTCTTAAGCCCTTTTAACATAAGATTTTGATCACCCCATGACTTCTAAAGTCACCATGACTTGAAATAAGGCTAAATCTTTTCTTAAATTCGGAAACCCTTATAGTGTGAAGGTCGAAGACATTTCTTCACAGCATTCAGTTTTCCTGATATAAATATAATTAAAAAAAGAGGTTTCTGCACCTTAATCCTCACTTTCAGTCCTACTGTGGAGTATCAAACAGCACAGTTATTACACCAAGGCTCTAAAGCCGCAGATATTTTCATACAGTGTGCTGCGACTGGTGTTAAAATTATGCACCAAATAATTTAGGTGCTCTGCTTTCCTAATCAATAAACTGCTGATTGCTGTTGAAGTTTACCCTGATGATCTTAAAACTTCCCTCAGTCTCCATAGCAGTCTTTGCTCGTTTTGAAGACGAGCATACTGCCCCTTGCCTTGAAATACTGTAGGTTATGGTATTTGGAGGAAAAGTGGGGGTGTGATGAGGTTTAAGCCTTGGCCAGAGGCCGCCATGGCCGGGTTGTCATCAAATTGTGACAACTCTGAACACCAGCCCTTTCCAGGATGCAGGGTAGATTTCAGGGGTCTACTCTTTTCTTTAGATGGAAAATACCCTCTCAGGTGACATTACTGACGTAACAGCACAGTTTTACATCCAACAGTAGAAACACACACAAGAAGCGAGGGATTGGAGGTCGAGAGCAATTTATAGCTCAGTTAAAATGGAACTGCAGTTTAATCACAATTTTTTTTTTCCGAAAAATGACAGATTTCAACTTTAAATCAATGTGCTTTTAGCTGTTACTACATGCTTTGACCAATCAAGGTACAATATAAATCCAAACACTTTTTAGTTCAGCAGAAAATGTTGAATGTGATGAAAACTTTAAATATTTTTTGCATGCCTACATGTGGGCTAAACTGTGTCTCTAGAGTAGAAGACTTAATTAATTTTAACAGAGGAGGTGAAGCTGAATAAGAGAAGCACAATGGGAACAAAACAGTCCTTCACCAAAACAGTCTGAAATACTTGAAGTTAAAAGACTGATATGATTATATCTTTTTAAATTTAGTGAAATGATTGTGATTTCACGCACAAAGCAAAAAGCAGCTGCCGTAGCCACAGTATAGGTGAAGTTAGATAAGACGGTAACATGATGAGATAAATTTTAAATATTGTATCAAGGTCACTAATAAATACTGAATACTTTGAATATGATTGAAACCATAGAGCATGCTGACGAAAGCCAGTTGTGTTGTGCCTGGTGCTTAAAAAAAAAATAGATCTGACAACCTGTGTTGAAGATAAGACGGCAGCATCATCACTGAAATGTGTGGTGGGACTGGAACGTTTACAGGGTTCATACGAGCTTCTTGGACAGGTGATCAGGAGGTCTCTCTCCTTACTCAGGCCAATCCAAGCATGTTTTGAAAAAGGCCAGCTTCTATAGCAGGGTGCTCTCTGTACAGCTTTAGTTTATGAAGCTACGAGGCAAGGATGGTACAGCAGAGGCCGCTGCATCACCACAGCATCACAGCCGAGGCAGTGCTAAGCCAGCTCCTTCATGGATGCATCAGTCTGAGGCCTTACTGGAAGCTTGCAATTTCAGCACAAAATTTCAATCCGTCAGCTTCAGTCACTTCGATGGCATCGTTATTCTGCCTCGTAACCTCGTCTGTCTGATCCGCGTTCTGCGGTTCTTCCATATCCTCTGCCGAGCTGCAGTCTGGAGGAGTTTCCTCACAGTTCTTAGGAGAGAAAACTTTTTGGTGGTCGGCTTCAGGGGGCGTCGTGTCACCAAGCGTGCAGCTAGAGCATTGGTAGAAATGAGTGCAGGGTTGGACCAAGTTAGAAGGAATGACTTTGGGGGTTGATGTAAAGTGTGTTCCTGGAGGATCTATGCATATGGAGGGGACGGTGCAGTGGCGGGAGGGGTTAAGGCGGTGGGAACGGCCCCCTGCTGGACGGTCGCAGCGCCGCCCTTGTGGAAGACGCATGCAGTCTTTACAGGACTGATAGGAAGGCTTCACTTTTAATGGGTTCCCTGTGCTGGCGCTGTCCTAAATGGATCAAATCGACACAGACAGAATAGAGTCAGTGATGTGATAAAGGAAAAATTTATTATGATTAGGGAGGCATTCATAGGAACTTTGTGTTTTATTTCTGATCTTTAGGTTTTGTAAAGCTTGGCTGAAACAGAATTGAGAAAATTTTTATATTCACTTATAAATTGAATGAAAATTTTAATTTATTAAATAAACTTTACAATAATAGCTTGGACAAACTGGTAAAAAAAAATCCCCTGACCTCTCTACTTTTAGCAATATTTGACATCTGTGTAAAGAATAATCGCATAAGATCAAAAATAAAGCTAATGAACTAACCGTATATTAAACTGATACACAAAAAAATAAAACAGAATGCAGTTTAGAAGAGAATATTAAAATATTTGAAGTTTCCACTTCATTAACAGCCAGTTTAACTGGTGCTACTGGTTTATCTCTGCAGGCAGAAAATGAATCTTCAAGTTCCATGCTGAGAAACCAACAGGATATGCTCATGGCTGTGGTATGTAACTCAGTTACAAACCAACTACCATTAGCAATACTAGCAAACACTTGTAGGTATGTGTGTATTTTACTTATTCAAACCTTTAAAGTACACATTCAGGACATGGGTTGTACAGCACCAAGGGTCCAAGAAAGTTAATGCGATACAAACCATCAGCAATAGATTTTAGATTTTCAGCTCAAAGCATATCTTTAACTTAAGGCTTCTGGTTTTTAAAGGTGGAAAGAAACCATCTGCAATTATAACACAGCTGTTGTTCATACATCTAACAATATATGGTGCGTTCAATGATCAGGAAAAAGATTGCTGATATTCTGAGGAGAAATTTCTGGATGCACCACTTTTCCAAACATAAATTACTTTTAAAACTCATCACATTATCAACATAAACATGTGAAAAACTCACATCAAAAGCTGCAGGACAGCTGCGTTTTGCAGCCAGGCGGTTGCTGTTGTTTGTGTTCAGGTTGGCCAAACCCAACTGGCTCTCCTCGCTCCCCTCAGCCTCCTCTCCTGTCCTCCATCCATCGGAACTCCCGGGTGTTTGAGCCAAGGCTGCCATCTCTTCTTCCTCTTTCTTGGCCTCTTCCTCATCCTCCTCCTCAAGAGTGCTGAACTCCAGCCTCAGTCTCATGTCTTCCATTGGGTCGACGCGTCCGCATGTCTGAGCGGCCGTGCCCTCTCCGGGCAGAGTAAGGTTGGCCATGGGGAAGCCCTCGTCCTCTAGCAGAGCGTCTCGCTCCACGTCCTCTATTTCGATGAAAACCCTCTCCATGCCTAAAAGAGGAGGTCCCCTCACTGGGGTGGAGGGCTCGCTGTCAAGAGCAGAATCTGATAAACGTCTGAAATAGTAGTTATAATTCAGAGAGTCTAAGGGTTCCATCTCCAGACCCCTGCATGGAGACGCCCCGCAGCCTCCCCAGGCCTCTTCCCCTCCGAGCACCGGAGTCTCCTCTCCACCTGTACTGTGACCCGATGCTTGCAGATAATCTGATCCTTCCTCATCTGTGTCAGGCCTCCACAGCTTGTTGTGACGCTGTTTACTGTGAAGACAAGCTTTGCCTCAAAATATGCATCTGAGTCCATCACCATTTTTTTCAACATTTTAATGTCAGGATAACATACATTTTAACACCGACATCCCACATTAAGCCCTCCCCACCGCCCCGCTCCATTCCAGACCGCCTGCGCAAAGCAAAGCCTGCAGCCTCTGTTGTTCCTCCCATCTTGCTCAGCTCCGACTCCCTCGGAGCTTGAGGAGAGCATGCACCATATTATTATTAAATTCATAGGAGCAAAACATGCGGAAAAGAACGCTTAATTTAATACGACATTAAAAAACAGGGATATGATCGTAGATAGCTTGTATGAACTATGTTTGTTCTCTACTTCCAAACTCAGCATCTCTTTATCCATGCCTGCGATAAGAAGTTTGAGATGGCGATCTTGGAACTTGTTGTGACTGGATTTGATTAAACTTTTAAGGCTCTCGGCATGAAATAAATATTTTGATTGAGAAGAGAAACCTGCTTCATGGTATGCTGAAGTATCAATAGTTTGCGTCTAATCATTTAATTAAACAGTCTTAATTTTTGGGAATATCGAAAAATTATGCTCTTATTTGTAGTTACCGATCCATCGGTACCGTATTTTAATTTGAAAAACCGGAAAAGCCATTCTTTTTCCTCTTTGGTGCGATTGCAATTGCGGATCCTGACCTGGCTGGACTGGAGCGGAGCAAAAAATAGCTCGACTCCGTATTTTGACGGTGACGGACGGAAAAGACATATGTCAACGGTGACATGTGGAGGAGTAGCGGTGGATGTAGAACAGCTCTCATTGATTAACATGACAAACAAGTACTCCGCACGGCGTACGTGAGCGGGGCGGTGACGGAGTATTTGGAATCTGGGGGTTAAAATCAAAGTTACCTTAATCCTAGTTTTCAAATTAATTATATGAAAATTCACCCTGAATCTATTGGAGATTATTCTATGGAGACCATTACTATAGAGGACCAGCTTTAGATAAGCAACCAAGAAAAACAAAGGATGTGTAAGGAAGGAAGGAAGGAAAACAGAAAAAAGCAAAATAGAAAAAAGGAAAAAAGAAAAAAAGGGAAAAAAAATAAAAAATAAGGAAATAGACAAAAAAGAAAGAAAGATGGAAAGAAATGAGAGATAGGCAGATGGTTGGAAAGATGGATTATATCATAAGATGGATGGATAAAGAGACATATTAAGATGGAAAAAATATATTAAATAGCAAACAAAAACAGATGTTGAATGGATTGAAATACTGATTAATGTAAAAAAAAAAATAGACAGATACAATTTTTAACAATGAAAAACATGCTAAAGTGTGGAGATCCCAATATTTTTCCACCTCTTTACAAACCTGCAACATACTTAAATAAAATGTAATACTTGTTCAAGTTTTTATTAAAAAAGAAAACATTTTCTTACTCCAAAATATCTCATCAAGTCAAATTTCCCTAAAACCGCTCCGTTGGGTAACGGAGGAAAGTTGTATATCAGCTCACCTGGCATCAAGGATTCCTTCATATTCGGCCAGCTGCCGCATGAAACCAGCATTTGGCTGAGCTATGCTCCTCTTCTGCTTGATATAGTTGTAGGCTTTCTCCAGTGACCAGCCGTATTCCTTCATGGCGTAGGCGATAACTGTGGAGGCAGAGCGGCTCACGCCCATCTTACAGTGCACCAGGCACTTTGAATTATTCTTCCTAAATCATAAATGATGGAAAAAAAGTCAACTTGGTTAATTATTTAACTATTTTGATGGTTTTCAAAGACTCCATTAAAGCAGTTATCTCTTAAAGTGACTAATGTGTTACATTTTAAATATTAGATAAAATCCTATTATATGTCAGATTAATGTGCTAGTACTGCAGCAATCAGGCTGCTGGCTTCATTTTGGACAAAACACCTCTAATCTCCATGTGTTAATTGCTCTCACTTGGCTTTGACAATAAAGTTGTAGGTATCGTTCCAGTGGGCCAGCAGGTCGGTGGCATCCTCGTCGTACACGCGGACGTTGTGATAAGAGAACATCCCAGGGAAGAAGTTGTCAATCTCTCTGGTAACATTTAGAATGTAACCAACCCTGTGGAGGAAATATGTTTTATTATTTATTAAATAATAATAAATGATTGCAAAAGGACATGCTTCACTTCTGAAATGCAGCAAAAGCAAAACATTCAAGATTTTAGATTAAGAACTCAGAATGAATGATGGCTGACCCGCAGTTTTGCAGCTCTTCGAGGTTGGAGGCATTCCACTCAGAGCCCTGCAGGGAAACAAAGCAGAAAACTATTCAGAACATAGAGTATATCCAATTTCTATAACAGATCTTTGTTATTCAGAATTGCAGGAACTTGGAGCCTGTTTTAAATGACTTAGAAAAAAAACAATACAAAATCTGCACAAATTACCTATCTATGTGACAAAACAAACAAGCAACTGAGATCTTCAGATTCAAAACTAAAACTTACAGGTACATTTATACGGGTATAAAGTAATTTGTAAATCTTTGAGTCTGTTTTTGCATGAAAAAAAAAATGAAGAAAATCCAGGAAATTAAGCAGAGATCCCAAAATGTGTCAGATCCTTATATACAAAGTACCTAAGCTGCATTGTAACATTTTTATTTTTGCACTTCCTGCTTCACCCTGGATATGAAACACTAAATAACATAAAGAGCATTTTTAAGATTTTTTAAATGAAGAACTAAATGATTTTTTTCCTTCAGCCTTTTATAATCCAGATAGGGTTCTAGATCTACTTAAATATGCTAATTGGGCATTAAAGGCTATGACTAATCAAAGCTTGAATTTCATTAGATTTCAAATTAATTTGTGTAAGAAAACGTATTTGTGTATTTACCTTTAAAAAAACTAAAATCCAATATAGTGATGTGACAAACTTCACCATTAAACAGCTTTAAATAGGGCTTCATGCTGCTGTACGTCTCTTAAAGTTGAAGCAAATTTAGCAAATCCTCCTTTTGTCCTTAAAATCAATTACTTTTTCAACCAAACAATAAAAAGCAGCAGAAACCTGCTTTTTATAAACAAAAATGTGACTCACCAAATAAACGTGGTCAAATATAGGAGTGGCCTTATCCATCTGACCCAAGATCAGGAGCATCTCGTTGTCGATGAACTCCTTGTATTCTTTGAGGTTACAGCTCATGTGCTGCTCCAGCTCATTACGGATCTGGCAAAGAGGAGTTTGTGTTTAAAATAAAACCAATTTTGAGACCAATCTTTTCCTTTTTATGTTAGTTAGCACACAAAAGAATATTTTTCATTCATAAATGCAGGAATATACGAGAAATAATTTTGTTTTCATTTTATTAAACTTGGGGGATACCCGGATCATAATGTCATGTCTTCAAAAACTTAAAACACTGGCTTATTCACAATATTTGGATTCATCAGAGGAGTCTTTAAACAAACTGTGTCCTTGTTATCATAGAAAAAGGAAAGGAAAAATGAAAAGACAACTGGAAGAGAAATATGGACTTCCATAAGTTTGGTTCATCTTTGAGTAAAAATTCCAGATGTCTGACGTAGCTAAATGTATGTGTTCAAAGAACTTCATGCAGGTATAAACAACGCGGAAATGTCCAGTCAGGAAAAGGGGTTTGTGTTGCCTTTCAGGCATGAATCTTATTAAGCTCTTATTTTGAAGGGCCATTTTCACTCTAACATTCTCAATCTCAGGTTAAGTTTGAGTTAGTACTGCATTTAGAGGCAGTTGGAGGGTAGATGAGTTCACATTTTGCTAAATTTCTGTGTTCAACTTGAATTTATCAACTTCACAGAGGCAAAATTGAAAGTTGATAATTTTATAATTACAGTTATAAGTTGATGTTAAATTACATGGAGTAGTATTTACATGGAAATGCCTTTGATTCATTTGGGGCTAAAAACGCTTTATTTGCATTTATTTACATAGGAAAGCACCCTTTACAGTTTTCAGTCTTACCTGGTACTACCAAGAAAAGAGCCCCAGTAAAGAGCAACTAAAGATTACTATGACTTCCATTTTCATTTATAAGGAAGCCGTTTCAGTGTCTACACTGCAGTGAGAACAACAGCGGGTTAGTTAAAAATGTCAGTCTGAAATGCATGCATTAATCCAAGAGCTAAGCAAAAGACCTTATGAAGAAGCTGAATGAGATTCTGTACCAACACAGGCTGAAAGGCCACTAAGGACTTATACTTCAAAGAAAACCGATACTAAAAGTTCTTAACGCACACAGTGATATAGACCTTAACTGTTGGAGAAATGCCCTGTAGTCTGATAAAACTAAAGTAGAAATGCTTTCCTGGCACTGACCATTTACTCAAAAAACAAAGAGGGATGTGAAGTTAAACCCACAAAACACCATTTGGTCACAAGGAAGTCGGACAAATTTAAGCAATTTCTACAACACTTTTCTAGTAATACTGAAGTGCTATACGTTAAATGGCGTTGAATGCCTTGCCTGGGGGCACAGCTTAGAAGTTAAAGGGGGAAGCTGGAATTAAGCCGACAACAACTACTTTACCCACTGATCAATAGTCCCAGCACATTTTGGACCCCCTGAACATCATGAGCAAATCATTCCGTTTAAAATGGAAAGCTACTAAACTTTAAGACAGTCTGTAACCTATGAATTTACTGGAAAATTGAGAAAACAAAAACAAACTAAAAACGTAAATTTCTTCATATTTAATCCATCCATTTTCTGTCTCGCTTATCCCTACTGGAGTCGCGGGGGATGCTGGTGCCTATCTCCAGCTGTCTATGGACGATAGGCAGAGTACACCCTGGACAGGTCGCCAGAGACGCACACAGATAAACAACCATTCACACACACACTCACACCTAAGGACAATTTAGAGAAACCAATTAACCTAACAGTGAAGTTTTTGGACTGTGGGAGGAAGCCGGAGTACCATGCATGCTCAGGGAAAACATGCAAAGGCCATGCAGAATGAGCCGGGTGGGGAATCGAACCGAGATCTTCTTGTTGCAAGGTGGCAGTGCTACCCACCCACACAGATTTTTTATTTTATTTTATTATTTATATAAAAAAAAATCTCTTCATATTTAATATAAAAAAAATACTACTAATAATATAATACTAACTGGCAAAAAGAGAGAGAGAAACAAAATCTGTTTTATAAAGTCAGCCAGTTGTTTTTATACAGTGGATTTTAGGATCTGGTTTTAAATAATGAAGGTTTTGAGACAAAAGAAAAAAGATTGATTCAAGATTCAAGATTCAAGTGAAAAATAAAGTTTGCAAAATAAAGCTTGGTACAAACCTCCTTTGAGGTGATGTTCTCAAGATCTTGAAACATCATGATGTTGCGAAGTTTGGCCTTGATAAGACACTCGGTTCTTTCTCGCTCAGTTGGCCTAAAGAGCAAATTAAACCACAATGTAAAATATAAAAAACAGCAACAATCACACTTGAAAATTGTTTCTGTTGGCGTTTTATCGGGTTCTTACCCGTCGACGAACATGTTGGGAGAGTCAGACCTGGTGCTCTCCAGGTCAGTCATGGCATTCCACTCATTGATGAAGCTTTGCTCTGAGGTGATGCAGCTCTCATAAAAGGCCATCCATGTAAGAGCAATGCCACCAGGGAAGTAGTTGAACCGGCGGGAAACCTCACAGGCCTTATGGAGGACCTGCAGGGCAGACCTGTAGGAATGGAGGCAGTCTAGATCATAAGGAGGTTGCACCATCAGCCAGAATAGAGGGAAATGTGAAAACTATAAGTAACTAGCTTGCTGGGGAGGGAACCCATCAACCGTTATTTATAATTTACTTTATTTATACTTTACCTTTAACTAACCAGCAGGTGGTGTTTGGCAGGTTTATCATTACAAGCAAATTATGTTCATGTTATGAAATATTCAGGTCGAGTAAAAGCTGATCTCATCAAAGCAAAAAAAAAAATCTATACTTCTGACTGACCCTAATGGGGAATATAGAAGGCTTTAAGTATCCCTGAGCTAAAAATTAATATTCCGTTTGACAAATAATCTGGTTTAGGGTTATAATTTGCTGAAGATGGAAATGATTATTTTATGAATATTCCATGACTGCTGTGTTTATAATGCTGTACTCAGGTCACTTCTTTGGCTTTTTATAGGATTTAGGTGATTTTGCATCTTAGGAAAACATATTTTTGTTGATGAGTTGTTTTGCATTGTTATTCTGGTATTTCAACCATACTTAATAGTATGTATGAAGAGCTTTTCACAAATTTTTTTTTTTTTTTTTACTGAGAAGGATTACATATATGTACAGGCTCATGTAATCTGTATGCTGTGAAGTATTCTCTGTTTATTTCCTTAATGCCCTGTGAATAATACGAAGGGTAAAAGTATACAAATTGAAAACATGCATTCATTTTTTTTTTTAGCTAAGCTACCATAAAGCACAGTAAAGTTTTCACGCATAAAGAACTCAAATTTAAGCAACCAAAAAATATTCTTGATTAAAAGCCAGAAGGTTTAGAACATCACTTTAAATCTGTTGTATGAATGTTTTAAACCATCTGATATGCTGTTGTTGATGAAAATTTGTTTCAAGGTCATAACTTTTTCATTGGATGTTTCTTTTAATTAAAGGTCTCAATGTTTTTCTCAAAACAATTATTGTTTTCAAAATATGCTCACAGAACATCTAGTGGTGCGCAAGGACAACGATCAGTTTTAGACTGCACAAAATCTGGCCTTTATGGAAGAAAACCATTTCCTAAAGATTTTCATAAAAAGACTTGTCTAAAGTTTGTCACAAGCCACCTGGGAGACACAGATAACATGTGGGAGATGATACTCTAGTCAGATGAAAACTAAATAAAAATTTTTGGCAACAATGCAAAACATTATGTTTGGCTTAGAAGCAACAAAGCTTATCACCATGAAAACACCATCCCCACTGTCAAACACGGTGGGGGAAGCATTATGGTTTGGGTCTGCTTTTCTTCAGCAGGGACAGGGAAAGTGGTTAAAATAGATGGGAAGATGGATGGAGCCAAATAAATGACCATTCTGGAAGAAAACCTGCTAGAGTCTGCAAAAGAACTGAGACTGGGACAGAGATTTATCTTCCAACAAGATATAGAAACATAAAGAAAAATCTACATTGGAATGGTTCACAAATTAGAATGGCCAATTCAAAGTCCAGACCTGAATCTAATCGATAACCAGTGGAAAGAACTTAAAACTGCTGTCAACAAGCGCTCGCCATACTACCTCACTGAGCTTGAGCTGTTTAGCAACAAAGAATGGGCAAAGATTCCAGTCTCTCCATGTGCAAAACTAATAGAGACACATCCCAAGCGATTTGCAGCTGTAATTGCAGCAAAAGGCTACAAAGTATTAACTCAAGATAAATGAATAACATAAATTTCGTTCCACTTCATGATTGTGTTCCGCTTGTTTTTGATTTTTCACAAAGAATTTCAATTCTATACCTTTAAGTTTGAAGCCTGGAATATGGCAAATGGCTGAAAAGTTCAATTGGCCCGAATTCACGAACCACTGTACGTTGGTTTGGTTAGCATTAGTGGACCTGGTAACTGGCTTGCAAACAGTAGAGCCAGTTGCCATTTACTGGCTGGGGGAGTTAAACTTGTAGGTATCACCTTTAACTAATAGTTGATTATACAAAATCCTTCTGATTTCATTCTTTAATTATTTTAGTTTTAGAGCCTATGAAGTTCCCGAGTCATAAATATTAGAAAACCCATCTTAAAAACAAAAGAGAAAAAAAAATTCCCACTTTTTATCTAAAGAAATAAAGCTGTGTTCATATACCAGATGAGAAAATTTAAGCAGAAACTATGTACTGCTTAAACTATGAAACTAACATGGTTTTTACTCACCACATTGCCTGCACAGAAACAGGCTTGAAGACATGTGACCGCCCTGCTGTGTTCACACTGAAGCCTCTGGTGAAAAAGAAGAGGAGAGGAGGATCTGATGGAGGTTGGATGGTTTAAGAGGAACTGTTCATGGTTAAAATGATGGAACATTCCTCCAGCAGAGATACAGTAGGATGTTACCAGGTCAGCAAAAACTGTTCCTGTGTAAATTACTGTGTTGACACTAGGAGGCAGTATGTCACCACTGGCATCATTTCAACCCACACACACATTCTGCATGCAGCACACAGAAAGCCTAACCATCATCTTACCCATCTCCATCTAGATGAATGTTGGTATCACTCCACAGAGGCAGAACCATCCCAATGGAGCAGTTTTTACTGGAAATAACCAGAACATCACTTTAGTCAATCAAATTATCTGAAATAATGCAAAATATAGAGACTTAAAAGAGAAAAGACCTGTTCTTATCAGTAAAGTCCATTCCCAAAACAATGTTTTCTTCTGTATCTTGATGGCCATTGGTGTAAATGACAATCATGTAACGCACTCTCTCCGACCATCCGCTTTCTAAGCGAACCGCCTTGGAGACAAAAGGAGACATCAAGTGTTTGGTTCGTTGCATCTTTAAGTTACCGTTTATGTTGCTGCTTCTATTTTAAGAAGCTAGAAGATAATACTTTCAAGATGAGATCAAATGCAACTTAAACTTTTAGTGTAGTGACAGTCATATTTATTGGCTACACTGGAGAAAATAAAAAAGCACCTTAATTAATTGGCTGCAACAACAGAGTAACAAATTAATAAAAATAAATATTTAACTATATATCTAACTATTACTGGCAAAGCTTTTTTTTTTATATACAACCTTTTTCTAAGGGACAGAACTTTTAAATTAGATGTGTGATCATCATTTGAAAGCTAACACCTTCTAATTTCTGAAAATATAACTTAAAATAATACGACTTAAACACAGCCACAACTGCGGCAGTTAAAACATGACTCATAACTGTTTTTTTCTTCTAGAAAATAATATATATTATATAACAGTAATGAAGACATGCTTGAAAATAGGCATGTCTCATTGTATTCCATTTATTCTGCCTAATATCAACCACAACTGCAGAAAATTTCAGACCTCTAGGTGTAACAGTTCCAGAGCTTTGTGACTTTCAAAATGTGCCACATTATTCAAAATTGTGCTTATTGCTTTTACACAACAATTTTATCCCCCCCCCCAAAAAAAATCACACTGGAGCATTTTGATGGCCACAAAACATTTTTGAAGCAAATATTTTTTTTTCTAACTTTCCATCTAATTATCTAACAGTTTGCAATGATCCAATCACTAATGTGTGTGTGTGCCGTTTATGCCCGGCAATATATCCAGGCTGCACTATTCAAATTAGCCATGCTTACCCTTGTTTTAAGGTCATTTTATTGGTTACAGAGCCAAAAATTGCACTTGGACTTAAACAATAGCAGCAGACTTTATGAGCCATATGAGGGGAATCAGGCTTAAAGGAGGCGACTGATGGGGAACGCTTGTGACGCATCGAAGGGATGTCCCGGCATCAAATCTCAAAACATAATAGACGGGGACAACTTTGTCTGTAGGCTGGAAGGTAAGGGAAAACAAACATACCCAACATTGATCCAAAATGTTTGTGGGGACTAGGATAATTAGCAAGACATTTAGCATTAACTATAAGGATCGAACTTTTCTGATGGTAAACAACGAACTTTATGTGGCGATTTACTTGATTCGTTTTTATTTGTGGACTCTTACGGACAAATGTAATATAAACAATCTAAGATTAGGTTTATAATACGGCCTCATAATCCCTTCAAAGGTAGGAAGACGAAGCTTTACTTTAAAAATTCTGATTTAACATGCTGCTATATCTTTATTAATTGTGCTTCGGTGCTCATAGTTTCCATAAATTGAACTGTGCGCTGGTGACACAGTGGAAGTTAAGATGTGAAGCTTTATGTTTTATATTATTTATTTATTTTCATCTGGAACTGAGGAGATCTTGAATCAAGAGTGATTTTGCATGTGGTGAACTATTTCTGTGTTAATATTTTGCACATTTCTTTGGATAATTTTCTTGCAGAGAGGCCGATCAAAGCCCCAGTTTTATGTTTTTGGAATCAGTCGTGAATATTGCACGCATACTTTGACCAACTGACTTTAGACTTACACTGTCTGCAAATATTAGAGATTTAATAGTCAAGTATTCCAGTTAATTACAAATCCTTCCTTCGTATGTGTTTAGTGTCACATATGAAAAAGTTTGATCTAAAGACATTTTATTTTACCCAAAAGTAGAATATTTGCACAGAGTAGTTTCTGGTACGACACGGAGTGTGTCATAAAAATGTATCATTGTGCAGATGTAAAGCATAAACATCATCTCATCTGATTAACGGGCTGGATATACTCCCGCAGCAGTGTGTCGCAGGTATGAAGCAGACATTTTTGATTTATGCTCAATTTTGAAGCATGGTCTGCGCTATGGAATTCCACTCCACGATGCAAGAGGGACAATCACAAACTAGCTGTGGGTCGAGATACGACGGAGGCGATGAGGAAGTAGGGGGGTGTTTGTACAAAAACAGAGGGACATGAGGGCCAAAAAGAGCGGGAATCTGGGTGGAAAAAGGGTCCCAGCATTCTCGCTCTTTAACTGGTCCAAATTCATGGGTTGTTTTCCAACAATGGCGGCCATATAAACAAAACGGGCCGGTAAGGTACCAAACCGGAAATACTCATGAGTAGAGCGGATGTAGATTCGACCAATCAGAGGACTCCTGTCTGCGGCACTGTCTGTGGTCACCTGCAATTTTGGAGAGGTGCACCAGAGTGTCTGTGGAGGGGACAGGGACGTCCCTGCGTTCCCTGAACACACACGCAGAAGACCGTGTTTCAAATTATAAATCAGCCTTCAAGCAAATGGTTTCAATTGAGTTTCAGCAGAATTGGAAAGAGATCTTTTTTCTGGCATGCCTCCCAAACAACTGCTTGCCATGCAATGCAAATAGCCTCCAATTGCTTTTGTTAACACTGAGGGATGCCATGATGCCATTCTTTCCTGCAATGTGCTGACACTGAGCTTTGGATATTTTTTAACTGGATTAAAATCTGATTGTACATGTAGGAGCGGGAGAGTTTGGAACAGCTAATCTTAGTGGCAAGTAACTAAATTACATGATGACATCATATTTTCCCCCGCCAATACAGATAATACTGATCAGAAGTTTTTAGCAAAGGAAACGTTTCCATAGTCATTTAAATACCATTTTACAAGGGAAGCTAATAAATAAAGCTACTAGTGTAAGGCAGCATCCCTGTAGAACGTTTTTATCAGTTTACACAAAGGACAAAAATAGTCACAACTATGGATGGGCATTTTATCAACAATTTATCTACTGCTCTTAACAAAACTCCTTATCAATTGGGTGTCTTATCGATAGTGATATCGATGTGCAGCTTCAACTAGTGAAGATGCAGCACCAAAAGGTTTTCTGCATGTATACCAACCACACCAATATTTAGCTGACTTAGGGAGATCTTTTCAAATGAGACAGGAGTGGAGCTTGCTCTTGGCTTTTAATCACCCATGGCATGATTTTAGAGCTGCAATAATGCTGGTAGCTGTAGCTACAGTTTGCTTACGGGTGCCTCGGCTCAACCACTCATATTTAAATGCAGGAGTTTCAGAGAAAGGAAGAATATTATGTTAAAGTTCATTGTTACACAATGTTTATATTCTGCTTTGTGATCTAAGGGTTGCTCATGCTTGTTTAATTTTCATTGGGGATTCAGACAGTCTGTCTAGTGTATCTATACTCTGCAGGGGTTCTCAGCAGCCCTCACTGCTTGCTACTTCTGACGCACATTCTCTGCAACCATCAAATCTGTCTCCGTGTGCGACCACATCTCCGCGCAGAGGTTCTGCAACCATCGTTGCCAACCTAAAAAAAATCATGACTACGGTACACGTCGGACGGTCGCAAACCTGCGCAGACCTCAAGTGGAAGTGCGCAGAAAAAAAACAGCTGTGATCGGTCCTTGGTATGCCTTTCCGGCTGCCATTTTTGGAAATCGAGGAGTAATAACAACAATGGCTAACCACAACGAAACAGTGTGTTCTTCTTAATGAGAATGAGGAGAAGATCAGCATTACAGCGTTGTCTGAGTTGGAGACTCCCTGAAGAGTTAAATGTGACCTTAAGATATCATTAACAGGACCAATAAGTCTGCATATTTTCAGTCCATGAGGCCAGCCCGACGTGGCGCTGGAGCCGTTTTGATACTGTATCCATCACAAATTACAACTTGGAAGCGACAAAGTCATTGTTGAATGAAGCACTTGATAATGACTTGGTTCATAGATGCTATTTAAGTTTTATGATTAAATAAACAAGTCATCAGTTTCATTTTGCTCTGCATATCATATTGCATCTTTGTTATAAGAGCCCATAACATTAGCTATTGCATGTTAAATGTGAATAATTGTATCTTTGATTTGGTAATGTGTAAACCCTATGCAAATGTAGTGAGCACAAGAAAAGAAACATACCAGCTTGATGCGATCCTCAGACCGTAGGATCTTGAACATCACCTGCAGATGTTGAGGTAAATCACCTAAAAGAGAATTATTAACATGTAATGAATAAGTTACAGATCATCTCAGAATTTTACATAGTGCAATAGAGAAAGTAAAAACGAGATCAGAAAAACTTAGGAAACTCACAGACATCTATATCTCTAAATTAAATGTGTTCAACACTGGACATTGTGGTTGGAAATAAGTATTTCCCATCTATTCCTCTTTTTCTTCATTTAAATCCTGAAAGGAAGCTTGCCTTGTTTGCTTTATTGCACAAAGGTTTTCACTCAGGTTGCACACTTGCTAGACAAGGCGAAGCCTGAGGCTTATCCTTATAACACGCAAGAAGTTGTTTTCCTCTGTGAGAAGTTTTAGAGAGGGGGTTCAGGCTCCTTTACGTACAAACTTATTTTAACATCACACTTGTTTGTTCCAAACCATATGTGATTTGTTTTTGGGTAATTTGCATGGCAAATCCATCCCAGCTGTATGTTTGAGTTTAAGTAGTTAGTGAAGCCCTTTGTATGAGCAGTGCAGTCAGAACATTAACAAAGACGATATGTTTCTACCTTGAACTGCAATAGTCAAGTTAGGTGGAGTTTCAAGATGAAAACCAAAGATGACAGTAATTAACACAAAGGTTCAACTCTCATTTTTCCAAACGAACCTGCTCTCTGACAGAGTAGTCTAAGGAAAAATGCACTGCCATCAAGATGCAAACTTATGTGCAAGCAAACATGGGTTAAGGAAAACCAACAAGCCAAAATCTGAAGGGCTAACAAAAGGAGTCCTTTGAAGCTGCCTAATGAAATCTGATAGCAATGCGGTGGCATGACCTGAAAAAGGCTGTTAATCCTAAAAAAACTATCCAATGAGGCTGTATTAAAACAATTTAGCAAAGACAAGAGGCTCCAAACGGCTGGAAAAGGATGTAAAATACAGTAATTGGAAATGCTTGAAGGTTTCAGTTTCTGCAATCTGTTATTAGGATAAGGGCAAGGCAAGTTTATTTGTATAGCACATTTCAGTGGCAGGAAAATTCAAAGCGATATCAATGAGAAAAAAGTACAATAGAGGCAAAACAAATAGAAGTGGATGGTTCAAATAATATAACATTAAAAAAATGAAGACGGACTAAAAACTGTAATAAAGTTTAGATAGCATAGGCAATGGCTACACTAAACAAATACCTTTAGAAACTTACAAGTATTTAGTTTTGTCTTGACTTTAGCCGTGCAGATAATAATGGCAGAAATAAGTGGATCAAAGCTCCATTTGTATAATTTAGTTCTTACCTGCATGTTTGTGATGCGTCGGTGTCTTTGGTTCCTCTGTGTTGCCACCTTGCTGGAGAAACAGGGCAGCTCCTTTGACCATAAAGAAACTCTCACTGATGCTGGAAAAAAGCAAAAAAATTAATTAAAAAAATAAATAATAAAGAGCTGAAAAAGAATACCAACACAACTTACAGTACGGCATTAGACATGCCAACAGCAAGTCCAATGAAAGTTTTTTATTTTATTTAAATAAGCGTACTTAACACTAGAGTGAAAACAGAAAAACTAGAGTTCGGTAAATTTTCAATTATTTTGCCGCTTTATTTCATGAGTTGTGAAGCTGCGTTCACACCATAAGCGTTCTGGGCGTCAAAGCGTCATATTTACATGCAAAGTCTATGGGGGATGGTGTAGAGAGGTCCAGCGTTGGGAGCAGCGTATCAAGGCGTTTGGAGTCTGACGCTGGAGTTAAGAAAATTTTACTTTTGCCACTTTAAAAATACCAACATAAACAAACAATTTTAAAATATTGGATTGTATGTTCTGTTACTTTAACCTTTTACCACAAAAATGAAAAACTATCTGCTACTAGCAGCAGGATTCTGCCAAATAAAACTGAGCAGAGTCCCAACCCAGCTCCTCTTCACCAACATATCATTCCTCCATCGGTTAATCTGCGTTTTTTTTAACTTCTCAGCAGTTGCCACTGATTTTATCCATTAAATAACATTGACCCACTTAAATTTGATTCCAAAAGGAATAATATCATGTATTTGAACTAAAATTAGACCCTAAAGCCATTATAGATACTGTGGTGCATTGCAGAGTAAACTCTGAAAACACAAATATCTTAAGAACTTGAGTTGGTACAAATCTGTAAATTTCAATACACTTTCTTCCCCAAACTTTGTGCATTTATTTTGCAGTTTGAGTAGATAAACATATTCTGTTTTCATCATTACTAATATAATATGTCATTACTATAATAATATGTGATTTAATGCCGCAAACACTGGAAAACTATGTAGTAATACAAAAATGTAATGAACGCAAATGACAGCCACTGTAAGAAGGATTCGATTAGAAACATGAAATAAAATAAAATGAAATCAGGGGCCCATTTGTGGAGAATATTGGAATATAGAAAAACATATAAAAACAAATAAAAAAATTTATCCTGACAAAAGGTTAAAAAAAGTTGAAAGCAAACTGATTTTACAGAAAATCCTCTTAGGCTTCAACTCATTAGTGACTACTGTTGGAAATTTCCCTCAAACCACCACAAAGAGGGGTCCATACGGTATCCCAAAGTAATATACTATATATAGAAAAGCAAACAAGCTGGTTGTTGTATACTTATCACATCAAAAAGGTAATATTGAAGGTATTTTGTTGCCAATGAGTGGTTGAAATTGATCAACTATAGGATTTATTTGCATGCTAATAAACCTACATTCATATCTATTGCATTAGCTACATCTAAGCTTCAATCAGTTTGACAGTAAAAACACAAACATTTGATCTTATATTACCACTATTTATCTTTTTCTTCAGCTGAGGGAAAAACAAAAAAAAAAAAATAAAGCAGCCCAAACAGATTCCTGTAGTTTCTGAAGGTCTTTAATATTTTTTGTTCAACCGAATCAAGGCAAATGGCAAAGATGTTGTTTTTGCAACAAGCTGCTGTTGACAAAACAGCTAAAGAACCCTTCTGAAATAGAACAGAATAGAGTAGAAAATCCCTTTATTCTCCTACAATGGGGAAATTCGGGTGTTTAAAGCAGCAAAAAGATTATAGAAACCATTGTCACACAAATCTGGACCTTAGAAAAATGTAGAAGAATATAATAATAGCGAATAGTTAAAATATGAACAATAAAAATACTGTAAAGTGTTTTAACGATATAAAAGCTGTGTACATGAAGAATAAATAACTAATATACAGCTATGGACATTTTTCTAGTAATGGATATTTGAAAACAGCAGCAACATTAGAGATGTGTTCCCCATTAAGCTGTCTATGGTGTGCTTACACATACTGACCCACCTCCTAGGTTTAGGTGCCTTTTAATGCCCCATTAATTTATAGGTCCAACAGTACTGCAGCTGAAGGCCTTTAAAAAATATGAATATAGTAAATGAACCCTTAGTTGTTGCTATGAGCCCAATCACTCAATATAATGTTGCTGTGGGAACTTACATGCGACAGATCTCCTTCCGAGTCAGAGAAGCTTTCTCTACAAAGTGAGGCAGTTCTTTAAAAATAGCTCCATGTGAAGACTTTAAAACTAGATGCATCCTGCTGGTTTTAATATTTTCAGTCACCTAAGAAAAGCTAAGGCTCATCCAAAAAGTCCCACAATTTCCTCTTTTGTGTCCAATCTCCTATAGCAGCCTGATACATGTCATCTTCCATGTTCTTAATCGTCACCTCAAGCCCCGGTGCTTCTTTCATGCCCATGCTGCCGGCTGTTTGATGCAGCACGTGATTCATCCATCAGCTGAGAAACGCTCTGCAACAATACCCTCATTTAGAGTGAAAGTGTGCAGGCGGGTGGGAACGTCTCATGTTTGACATTCGGCAATCAAGGCTTCACACCAGTGACGAATCACCAAACATGACAAGGCTTTTTTTTCCCAGCCTACAAATCCAACAAAGGCATTAGTGTTTGGCAAAGCTTTGCTGACAAATGCCTTGACTTCTGTGACGTTGGTTGGATAAAGAAAAGTCTTGTTTCTGAGCAGGGACAAAAGTTTATGCACTATTTGTTATGTAACAGAGTATGAGAAGCTGTTTTTAAAAACTTGTCACGCTGAATTCATTTTCCTCTGCTTTGTCTGAAAACTACTGAGGGGAATTTTTAAGTGTGGAAAAGGCAGGGAGCAGGACAATCTGGGCTATAAGTCTGTCAAAAATATGCCTTATTCAAGATAAAGTGAAACTAAAAATCTTCTCAACATTGTTCAAAGTATTCTTTTAAACCTCACCACAATACCAAGTTGTTGTATATATATAAAACAAAGATAGAACAAGGGACGTGCAGCAACCAAAGTTTTCAAACTGGTACAAATAATGTCAACATGGAAAAATGCTGAGGAAAACTAAGTAACTCCTTACCGGGGGCCTTGATCACAATGTTAAAGTTGTCAACAGAACAGTTAGTAACAGATTGAACAAGTATGGCTTGATTTAAAAGGTTAATCAAAGAAAGTCTCCCCTATTTAAACAGAACATTTCTTCACAACTTATGACTTACAGTTAAGCCCAAGTTTATTCATATGCCTGCCAGATATATGTTCAAGGTCATTCCCTTCAGACAGGAAATAATATTCAAGTTTTGAGGTGATGCACATTTAGAGCACAGATCTGAATTGTATACAGAATGTGTAGAAGGCCCTAAAGATTAGGGTGATGGAAAGGAGGACTTTCTAGCCTCATCATTAAAGTTATTGTCAAACTACCACTGAAACATGCACAAACTTGTTAATAACACACAATTTAAATAGGCATTTTGTTCTAAAGCCAATAAAGTATTTTTTTAATTATTAAGAAATAATTTTAACATGCCATTTTTAAATAGAATAGCCATTATAACAATTTTTTTTTTAAACTGCTTCTCTTTTCACCCTCATTTTTTGAGATGCCTGTATCATTACTTATCAATAAACAAACTTCCTTACTGAATAAAATAATTATATATCTGGACTAACAGGGGTAGGGGTGACTTTGGTATTAATTGTGGCTGAAATTAAAGACAAAATTTCAAGAAATAAAGAGACCAAAGCAGAGATGGTTGGTCATAATCTACAGAACCATGCATGTGAAAAACAAACCAAGTTTATCAGCTCACTAACAGTTAGATATGGCGGGTGGATGATATGTGCTTTGTAGACCAAGGATCTAGAAACCTTGCAGTCAAATAAGTTGATTATCAAGTCATCTCTATACAGGATTAATTCCCAATTTGGGAGATCAAATATCAATCAGCTTAATGTTGCATACACTGGGTATAATCATAAAAGTCCCTTTTTTCCACCAGTCCCAGGCCATTCACTGCATGTCCTCTGCTTCCTTCTCTGCTCTTCCTTTGGTCCAACAACTTATAAGTAAAGGCCATTATTGCTATAAAACCTTAGAAACAACAAAACCATAACACCAAAAGCAACAACTAACTACAATCAAGCAACTGCAATAAATTCAGTTGTTCCAATAGCCCAGTCAAAGTCCAAACTTCAGTCTTTAAGAAACCCAACCATCCAAGTTTAAACTAGTTTGGTTTAGCTGAAATGTTTAATAAAAAAAAAAAAAAATGAGGTTCCCTTCGATCCCAATATATAATTTTAATGAAGTTATCATTCTCCTTTAGATTTTTTAGTTCAAACTGAGCTTAAAATAGATTTTATTTAATTATATATATATTTTTTATTACAATCAGAAGTAGCTGAAATCCTTGTCATGACAAAGCACAAATGGGTTTCTGGAGTGACTGTATCATTTTGTAAGAAAAAAAAAAAGAAGAAAAAAGACAGTATAGGCTTTGTTTTATATACACCCTTGGCTACCATTGTCAGGTTTGGTGAAAGTTAGTGTTGGATCCAAATGCAGAGATGAGGAGGCAGTGCTGAGTTTTGCTGATTTAATTAAGGTTCCAAAAGCAACAGAGGCAAAAACCCAGGAACAAAATAAAGAAACCAAAAACCAGGAGACAACAGGGGAAGACACACACAGGGAGCAAAGCAAAGAATTTACAATGCAACAAGAAACCAGCACTGACGAAATGCACAGGGAGTTTCTATAAGGGAAAAAAAAAAAAAACAATGGGGTAATCAGCTAATATGGAGCAGGTGTGGATAGAAGTGACTAGAAGGAAGCTAAAGGGAAAAGTGGGTAACAGAGAGTAACAGAGAACACAACACTGCCAGAAAACTACAGCAAAGACACAAAATTAAAGAGAAACTGAAAATAAACAAAGGGCAGAACCCTGACAATCATTGTCCAAGGGAAGTATAATAAGAAAGAATGAAATTTATTATGTAATATCACAGAGCTGATAAATGTAAGAATGAAAGAAATAATAATGAGAATAAGTGGATGAGGACACATACAGACAGCGAGCCAAGCACATATTTGGTCTAACTTGTTACTGTTGGAGATCTACTGATATATTAGCGATATCTTTCTTTTTTTAGCTTTCATGATAAAAAAATTAGAAAATGTGGAAGCAGTGTATTAGAGTTGTGCTTTCATTTAACCCAAATGTTGTGTATTTACATAACACAAAGTTATAGAAAAAAGACATACTTTTCCCAAAATACATAAAGGAACTGTAAACTTGGTGTATCTATGGCCACTGACTTTAAAAAAAGTTAAAATAAAATGTATATTTTTGGAGTAAAATATATAACATTAAAAATCCAAACAGACCTAAAATTGAAATACTTAAGCCTGATTTAATGTCAGAGGATAGGCACAAAAAATGTATTGATTCTATATCATACAGTGTTAAAAATAAAAGAATATTAAACACTTATAAATAAAAATGGTCTCTGTAAGTTTTATAGTTCTTACCTCTGATTATTTTTCCTGTCATCATCACTTCCAAAATCCTACAAAAGAGAAAAAGAGAAAACAAAGGACAGAAATTTAATAGTACAGCAGTGATAAATGAATGGATTCATATCAGTGGTGTACTATTATAGCATAGTTTTATTTTATTTTTTTTAGGTAATAATAAAACAATCCGCAATGAAAACTAAGGTAAATATAATTTTTAGAGATGCAATGATTACACTGTTAAAAAAAAAATCCTTAAAATATGTTTAAAAGCTATTCTGTTAAAAAGTAACCGATACAGCAGCATTATAAATGGTTGAATTTCTAAGATTTAGAAATGTTTGCTCCAAATGGCTTAAAGGTATTGTGGAGAATTTTTTAAAAGACCCGCCCTCTGCACTTAAAAAAAAAAAAAAAGCGCCTGCAAGAGCCGCTGTCACTACCTTATCCGTCCCGGAAGCATGATTCATTCTGCGCATTTGCAAACAGATATACATCTGATTGTCCATAAATAATGTAATCATGGTACTAAAACTACTTATTTCTATCCTTAACGCACTAAAGAATAGTAATACACATCTGTAAAAAATTTTTTATGACTTTTGTGAGACAACTTTTATGCTTTTTACATTTTCTTCGTTAAACTGCTTCTCTGACGTCATCATCGGACATGCTCAGAGCAGTCCGGCGAAATATGATTAAACCATGTTTATCTGCATTCTAGTTGTTTCTTTCTTTAGATTACACACTATATAGCATAAGGTTAAAACGAAACGAAACCAAAAAACTCAAAAACACTAGATTTATGTTTAAATCCAAAGCGAAAAAGTTAGCTCCTGGAAGTAGCGTAGGATCCCATTTCCCGGTGCAGATCAGGCACAGACGGCTGATAAAAGGAAGGATTTTATGGCATTTATTTTCTCAAGAAATACATTATTAACCTTTAACATGGTATATTTAAGTATGTTTACTATTTTTTGGGAAGGGAAACATCATTTAGGTATTTTTAACTAAATAAAATCGAGGACGAACCGGAAGTATATCTGGATGCGCAAATGTGCTGATGGCGCATGTGCAGAACAGATCGTGCTTCTGGGACGGATCGGGTAGTGACAGCCGCCGTGACAGCAAATCCCATAAGGCTTTGCGAGGAAAGCTCTTCATGTAAAGCATTATGGGATATATCTGCCTCGTCTGAGGCCTTTCTTTTCTGTTATGACTCTTGGTCATTTTCATAGAACCGCGGTGAGAAAGGTGAGCTTCAATGATTGTCTGAAACCGTAGCTCACCATAGATTTGTGGATGAAAGTGCGCATGCGCAGAAAAAGGTAGCTAATGGGGACAAGCATTAAGGACGGCCTTACATAGACATATCACCAGAATGATTAACAATTAGGAGGACCTTTAAATAAAAGCAGAGAATGGCATAAATGACCCAAATAAAGACTAAAGGTTACTTTTTCAGTTTAAAGGTTAAACTGTGCCCTATAGATGCCTTTATGGGTACCACTTGTTTACCAGAATATACTTCAGCACTGATAAGTAATGCAAAAAATAGAATTTGCAGCAACCCTGCCTCACACAAATAAATAATTTTTTTAAAAAGTTCAACATAATGCCAAGATTCAAATTATCCGATAAATTTCATGTAAACTTTAGTATTTTGACTGAAAAACCAACTATTAACAAAATATATCTTATAATACTATTCTTGGCTAGGCTGCCTTTACATAAACGGGACTAAACAAACAAACATTATGTGAGAATTTACGTTATTTTTTGCAGTTTCAGGTGTATTTTTAATCTAATTTACTAATGTATCTAAATGTATTCATTAAATGTTACACATTTGCTGCAGTTGGAAGTGATTATTTCTCAAGAATAAGTCAGCGCCATCTGCTGGTCAGATATGTACTGTAAATTTATTAAGTCCTTAAAAGTGTTTACAGTAGCTCACTTCAGACAGCGCATTTTCTTCCTCTTTGATTATACCATTATGTTGAAGATGAGATATCATAAACTTTTCCTTGCAGCTTTGTAAAAGAGTATTTCACAAATATGGGAGGCTTAAGTAGTTTTTGAATTTTTTGGTTTGTTATAAAATTAAAGCCCAAACTCTATTATTTTTATAATATTCATAGCAGAACTTAGAATTTGCAAAAACATATAAGTCAACAGACAGAATAAAAATCTGCTTATAGGTGCTTTTTTTCCAGACAAATTTAACATCATTACAAAGGTAACCACTTCTATAAAACCATCAGTCATTCAGTAATGCAGCTTGTTTCTAAGGTTTATTACATCACAAATAGGCCACATGCAAAGGCCAGAGTTTGTGGACTAAACTAAGTAAAAAAAAAAGCTGCTTTTCTCCTAAATTGCAGAAGCTGTGAGCGCGCAAATCCCTGTAAACAAGCAGGGAGAGCCAGCTGAGCTCGCAGTGCAAAATGAGCACTTTGACAGCTAAACCCTGAGCAGCTTCCCCTCCCCCTCTGAGAGATTTTGTTTACAAATCCGCGGCAAAAGCTGCAACAAACAAAAACTCCCAAAACAACAGCCTTTGCAGCATATTGGTCTCTGAGGAAAAACTGTACTGGTCCTTGCAGGAGCGTTTCCTCACACCCAGCACATGCATCCCCATCCCCGGCTCCCTAACTCACCTCCCCCGCGCTGCTGCTGGCCGAGGATGCCGCACTAGGGGTGGGGGATCGCTGCAGAGTCACCAGGGCCATGGTCGGTGGACTGCGGCGGCCGTGGAGGGCAACAGAGGAGCAGGGAAGGGAGGGGAGAAAGAAGCGCCGCTGCTTCTGCCTCTATCACCGGGCAAAAAATAATGCCTAGTCAGATTCTCCTCCAGCAGGTATAGACTCCACAGACCCCGCGCCGGTTCCTCTCGGTGGCTACCGGAGCCCTCATGAGCGGCAGAGGATGGCAGACGTCCCGTGCTTGACTCCAGCCAGCGGTCCCAGAGGTTATGACGGCAGACAGACAAACAAAACACGCTGCAGGTAGCAAAGCGGAGCAGAAATGACATGCAGCTTTGGCGGCTGCCTCTGATTGGCTGGCCTAATTCGCGTGTGAGCTGTCATTGGGCCAATGTTGTCAAGGTGACAGACCAGACTAGGAACTCCCATACCATGCTGCTGATATTATTCCAACTAAAAATACTGCAGGAACACTGTTTGATAAAACTGACATAGAAATTATAAACGTCATAGCATAAACCCCCCCAAAAAACCTACAAAATAAAGCTCATGCATGAAATCACTTAGTTTTTTATTACAGCAATTCGAAAATAGTAGTCACAAAATATTAGAAACAGTTAAATGAAATAAGATTACAATAGAATAAATATTTTTTCAAATATTTCCATTTTTGAAAGCTGAGTAAGAATATTTTTAAAAAATAACAGCTATTGTAGTGTTAAATAACACATTTTATAAATGTATCAGATAGATGGCAAATAACAGTTATTAACAGTAGGGGTGTAAATAATAATCGTTTTGTATCGATGCATCGATCCAACGGCCGGCGATCCGATGCATTGACACGGCCGCAAGAGTATTGATTCATGGTTTCATCTTTTTATCCATTTGCTCCTGGAACAACTTTGCTACTTCTGTTATTTGCTGTTGTTTCTCAAATGCATAACGACATTACAGCTTTCATGTATTTCATATTTGAAACATTTTCTAGCCTGTAAGGTTAAAAAAAGAAAAAAAAAGTAACCAATTAATCGAATCTTATCATGGTGTATTCTTGAGTATAAAAAATAATCGAATCGTTGGGTCAGGAAATTCGATATTGAATTGAATCTCCATGATGGGTGTGATTTACACCCATGATTAACAGTATCCAAGTGATCATTGCTTGCTGAAGTATACATTTTTATTAAACTGAATGTACTGCCATTAAGTGTTGAAACTTGGCAGCAAGATGGCAGACAAGACGGCCCTGCAAAGAAGAATGAGGTGCTGAAAAAGTGTTATTCCTTTGTCCATTCAGAGCCACTACACGTCTTAAGCTGACAGACAAAACCACTTAGAACAGGAATCACATCAAAATTGTAAAAGAAAATATATAAATAGTTTGAATATAAGATAAAAAATGTTTTCATCTGTCAATAGGCTCAATCCGATTATTAATCTATTAATCGGAAAAAAATATAAGCACTTATATATATATACAGTACATGAATTTATGTTACCAATAGGATCATGTTGAATTTTGTAGTTTAATTTTCACAACCTATTCTGTGTAACTAAGCAACTCCAGTAGGTCTATAAGTAGAAATAAGTAGATACCTGTTATTCATATTCATTTTTTGCTTTCCCTTAGCCACATAATTCGAAAAATATTACTTTATAACTAATATAAATAATGAATTGAACTCAGCTTTAAACATGAGCTTTACTCTATTTCTATCAATCAATTTCTGATGTAAATAATGATTTTATGGCGCAGCTAACATGGTATAAATGTCTGCAATTACGAGGAGGTAAAGCCACAGGAATTGATGTTACTTCTCTGGCCTATTGTATCTGATTATTATCACAGCAACACAACATTTCCTCAATAAAGCATTGTGATGACAGCATTATGCGTTGGTAGTGGATTTATTCTGTAATTCTTAATACAGGGCAGTTTTAGAGGAAAACATTTTAAAGGCTGCTAAAGAGTTAAGATGGGGTAACAAGTTCATCTTCCCGGTAACAAGACTGCAGCCAGAGATGTATTCCAATGGAAGAGATGAGCTCAAACAATGTTAAATAAAAACAGCTCAGAGCTGAATAAAAAAAGGTAAAATAGAGCTCTATAACTGCAGATCTTTTTTAAATCAAAGTGAGTTTGAGTTATTTTGCGTTGAAGAATGGACAAAAACATGAGTCTGTTAATGTGCGAGTAGAGAACTGCCAACCAAAGTCACAACTGCAAAGGCAGCAAAATGTTTAAAGTAAAAATAGTTATAAGAAAATGTGGAAGGCAGCTAATGACAAATCCTAAATAGAGTTTTCATATTTTTATTTGCAAAATTTCATATGAAAACAGGAATCACATTTTCTTCGAAGTTCAAGTTGTGCTTCTGTAATTAACAAAATTATAATAAATAGCTGTTAAGTTATAATGTGGAAAATTTTATGGGATATGATTACTTAAGAAAGGCAACATAATGATAAGTTCAAGCTTTTTTTCCCCATCTTAAAAAGATGCTCAATCATAATGCATTAATATATACGTAGATCCTTTCAATTTGGAAAAAAACAGTTGAAAAGTAAAACATAACAATAATAAAACATAAACTCACGAATACAGAAAAACAATAAATTCTACTAAGAAATTCTCTCTTCTCAGTCTGTCAGGTTTTATATGACTAAGATGTGTTTTTATTCTTGTGGTCTCACAAAAGTTTAAATTAAACAAACATATGCAGACCAGTAGACAAACTCTAAGCCAAGAGAATACTTAAAACAATATATTGATCTTCCCATTTGGCCCATACATATTTTGTTATTTTTCTAAATCAGAAATATAGCAGCACCATGTAGAGAAAAACAGTTTAAATGTTCCTATATGTGGTTAATCAAAAACAAACATTTGAACATGTCTTACAGTTTTTCATCCAAACATACTTTTTACAGTAAGACTTTAGGTAAACAATATAACAGAAGGAGGAATGGGAACATTTAGTTTGGGATTCTAAATGTTTGCTGTATTTTTCTGAATTTGTTCTTAGAGCACATACAGGTTCTATTGGTCTTAATAAACAAAACAGTTCAAGTACAAACATCCCTCTATCATCACTAGAAACAAAGACCAGACTTTTAGTTATTTACTGTCCTGTAATGAAACTTTTCCTTCAGCTCGGCACTATATCAGTCTTATATTTCAGTCCATCACTCTATAGTCAAATGTTTCCTTAGAAGGCACAAAACATCATTGATCTTTTTCCTGGTTGACCTATCTCTGGTCGATATTGTGTGTTGTACCATTTGACTGATGGGTTATGTCGGTTGTCTGCCCTACGGCCTCCTGATCGATGCCGGACTCCTGTAGACCCCTGCCCAGAGTTTCGATAGGCAAAAGTAAGGACGCGATTCCAGCCAGCAGACTGCAGCCACAGTAAACCGAAAGAGTCAGATACACCGATTTCCTGAGCATCACCTAGAAATAACCAACAACATATTAGGAGACAGGAAACCTGAAACTATGTGGTACATCATTATGCAATCATTAGAGTTTTAACAGTGTTACTCTTTCTGAATATGCTCACCTAAATATAATCTCCCCTCTGACTTAATATACGTATATGAAAATAAGTATTATTTTTTCCTTGCATCAAGTTATGAAAAAATAAATTTCACTGTAAAGGATGAGGAGGATTTATTCGAAATTGCTTCCTCACATCTTTGGTGATGTTGCTAAGACATGACTGTCTCTGTCTGTTTACTGAGTGTGTAACTTGATACATTCCTATTTTTCAAGGTTTTTCAAGCAGGGTTCAAATATACAAAGGGACATGGACAATAAGAATGTGTTCATCATGCTCCTTTTTACCATGTCCTGTTCATATTATTGTATGACATGTAGAAGCAAAAATATTATGAACTTGGATGGATAATGCATGCAATAATTTGAATTTTTGAATGTGAATAAACTTTAACGTGATATACAACAGTGTTTAAGAGTTCATTGATGCCTACCTTAAATATTTCCTTTTACTGTGAAATAATATATTGAACAAGAGTGTTGGTATTCCACAGAGGTTACCATACAAATGGTGTCTTTCTGACATGTACAATTTATGGATCAAATTCAATTTAATATTTAATTTCCAATCACCTGTGGTCTTTTGGACTTTATAGTATTTATTTATTGCCATTTTGAGAACCATGTTCAGTATATAAACCTTCAGTTTTCTGTAAATGTAAAATAATGAGAGTCTAAAATGAGATTTAGGTAATTAACGCCGAAGAAATAAATGAATAAAACAAAACAGAAATAACAAAAAAGCAAAACATCTGAAATCTTATGTGTGCTGGAATATCTGGCATTTTTTTTTTAAAATACTAAAATAAATGGAATCAAGTCAAAAGTATAAAATGACCGAGAAGAGATTTTTTGCTAGACTTTCCCCTTACAGCAGATTTTCTCCACTTGAAAGGTGGTTGTCTTTTGAGCTGTAAAATTTTTTACCCAAACTGTCCTGCTAGCTAATACCTACCAACTTGAACCATAATTTAACAATTGTTATCAACTTCTAAAGAACAGTTTCCATTGCTGCGATTCTTAGGAAATATGAGTAAAACTCTTCAAAACTATTAGAAGTGTTTATATCTATGATGTAACCATTTATAATTGTGGTCAAAAATATAAAATATTCTTATTTTTTTCTTTATTGCTTAAGAAACATCTTAAAATTAAGGTTTTCAGAAGCAGAGATATATCTACAATACCCCAACTTTAACAAATAATCTTAACCCTGGTATTTACAAAGAAAGGTCACGATGAACAATGTGTCTCTGGTAATTTCCACTAGTAGGCTACTCCAAAAAGATCAAAATCAAATTTTTTTTTTTCTGTTGCAGATCAGTTAGGATGACATTAATCAGTTATATATATCTATCTATACCTCTTTACTTTAGACACAGCTTCAACTAAAATCTATATTTGACCATTCAAAAGGCTCCACACACCTTTAAGTAGCCTAAATGATCTGTTCAAATACTAGTTAGTTTCACTAACACTAGAAGAGAAAGTGTTTTAATTGATGTCACTGAAGAAGATCAGCCGTTACTTAACTTCACATAAAAAATAACTAAGATAAATAAATATATAAATAAATAACTATTTAGAAAAGTCGTGACATCATAATCTTCACCATCTTTGTTTTCCCAAATTAATTAGACAATACAATCTCAGTGAAAGCAAACTAATGTGTTTTGAAGAAAGTACAGTAATACCTTTTTAACTTTATTATTTTGAGATTTAATTGAAGTCTATTTATTCTAACTGACATAAAACAAGAATGTTTAAAGTGATTGTTCTGAAAGTGAGAACATTTTTTTTATGTGTTTATATACCATGCTGTAAACATGGGTTTTAGGTGTATGGCAGAGCTGCATACCTGAGCCACAAACGGTGTAATAAGAGCGCCAATCCTTGCAACCGCACTGGAAGTCCCCATTCCTAAGGCTCTGATTTCAGTAGGAAAAACCTTAAGCACAAAAATAAGTGTATATGTTAGATCTCGATTTCTCTACAGATTTCTATAGCCCCTTTTCCACAGCTTTGCTTTTTCATACAGAATTACCCGACTAATTTGCATTACCTGTGCTTTCCTTTCACAGTGCTTTGAACCCTCAAGCTAATCAGTACTTCTGTCTGCTTGTTCTGGCTTTTGGGCGGGGTAGCAAAGAGCAATAATTAGTGGACTGTCTGGCTTCTTTTTTTGTTAAATCTCCCCAGCCGCCATCTTCAAACTGGCATTCTGTTTTGTTACATCCAACACACACAAACACACATACTCGTTCTGCTATATGTAGTGAGGACCATGAGTTGACTCCCATTGATTTTCAGTCATTTTCAACCCTTTCTATTAGCCTGGGTGCCATTCCGTACTTAGTCCCGCCCACAACGTTTGAGTTCGGGAAGTTCGATCTGGCATTGCTCAATATTAGCGCGAGTATGCTGGCACAAAATCTGGCGGGCCAATCAAATTGTCAGGGCGGGCTTTATACGATGATGACGTATCAACGTTACTGTTGATCAACCACGTCACCAAAGCGCGCTTGGGTGACAACAACAATGGCTGCCGCTGGAGAGTTCAGGTGTGTAGATTCTGCTATTAGGTCTGTTCTAGAAGATATCGACAGCAAATTAGTTTTAAAAGAGGAACAGAGAAACACGATCAAGGCTCATCTTCTTATTCTAGGCGTGCAACTGCACGCTTTGATTTTTGTTGACAACAACTATGCGTCGCTTAACACACGTCACACACTCCGTTGTTCTTATTGGTTGTAGGTCTATCCAATTGAGTGCAGAGGCATTTTTTTTCCTGGTTCGTTCGAAACACGCCCCATAATCACAGCTCTATGGAGCAGTATCAGACTCATATTCTGACTAGAATTGAGTAGGACTACGTCAGGCTACATTTCTATGCCCTAACCCTAAAACTAACCCCAAACCTAACCATTACCAATGCATACCTCACACTAACCCTAACCCAATTGGCACCTTAGCTCTAAACCTAACCATTAGCAAAGTAGCTTTTGAGGACCAGCAAAATGTCCTCACTTTGCAACAACTGGTCCTCAATCTGATGGTGAAAATGGAAAAATGGTTCTCACTCTGAGGGCTAGACAGGTACACACACACACACTCACGTTTCTCTATCCTCCGGGGATTTTCAATTTACTTCCTTTCATTTCTTACCCATTTCTACAGCTTAAACCCTTACCCTAAACCTAACCATTAAGGGCAAATACCTAACCCTAACCTTAACTCAATTCACACCTTACTCTTAAACCTATCGTCTAACCCTAGTAAAGCATTTGTACCAAGGTGGACCATAGGTTGGCCCCCACTAGAGGGCTCAGTCCCCACAATGTGCAAAGATTTATGGATAAGGGTCCGCACGATGTAAGAAATACGCACCAACCATTTCTTAAACATATGATGGAGAAGAGGGGGAGAAGTTACGACTGTTAGACAGATAATTAGGTTCCAGCTCTTTTAAGCTTTTAACTAAGGAGGATGTTTAGTGGGAGTTTGAGTCAGCAACGCACAATGATCGCATCCACGCTACGATCGGAGCAAAAATGGCTGAACTAAAGGTTATGCACACCACAAAGCAGGTGAGGGACAAGCTCAAGAAAATGAAACAGAACTACAAGAGGCTGAAGGACCAAAACAATCGTTGAGGATCAGACTGCCAGATAAACCATTATTATGACCAGCTGGATGCGATCATGGATGTGATGCATGGTCACCGAAGCCACAAAATACTTGCCAGTCTCTGTACTAGAGGTTGTTAGCCTAGAGGAGCTCTAGAGGGAAAATTTGTACCGAAAAGTGTAGGCTTGTCCCGATCCAATCCACGTATCGGATCGGACGCCGATATTGGCAAAAAAATGCGTATCGGCAAAGCATGTAAAAATGCCGATCCAGACTGCCGATCCAGTTAAAAAAAAAAAATCTGGTCCGTATTTTACAGTTTCGCCGATTGAAACGATCCATTCCACTATTTTGCGCCAGTGTTCCCCGAATCCGGTCCGCATTTTTCAGAACACCCTGAACACACCCACAGGTCTTTTTGGGTCTGTCTCCCGGCCTAACCATTAAAACAGGTGAATTGGAAGATAGCGGGGAAAATGTCAGCCGTGTGGGATTATTTTATCCTGCACGATGTGTAGATGGAGACTAGGTGTGGAGGAGATTGGGGAGTATAAGGCATTTTTGTGTAATAGTTCACTATTATTTGCACTGATTTTTTTTTTTTAAGCAGTGTCTTTTTTCAAGAGAAGAGTCCTGATTCTAAGTTAATAGACTATTTTCCACTCTTGTCTGTTTTGCATTTTTATTAAAACTTACAGTAATACTTGCACCTTTAACTGTTTACGGTTTTACTGTTCACTGTGCAATTCGAGATTGCTTTTCATAATTTTGTCCAGTTTGTGTTTATCTCTTAATAAGTTTCCAATCATTGTGTTTTATTCAATCTCACCTAATTCAGATGGCTAGATGTTATCAAGAGTACTAAAACCCTTTTCAACACGAGTCTTACAACTAAGGCTAAATACTTTAACTTAAACTTAAATACATGCTCGGAAAGGCTGGTATCGGCCAGTATCGGTATCGGATCGGAAGTCCAAAAACAATATCGGTATCAGATCGGAAGTGCAAAAACCTGGATCGGGACATCTCTAGAAAAGTGTACACCCAGAGTGTGTTAAGCTGTGTTCATGATCAAGCTCCAACATGTGGTGTCTTTTTACGTTTTTTGGCAACCACGTCGCTATGTTGACTTCCATGATTGTCCCGGGGCCTTTCACATGCCCCTGTCCCACTGGCACACCAGTCCCGCGTTGGCCCACTAAATTATGTGATACCATTGAACGCAATGTACAGACATCAAAACACAGCGCCAGCCATTTCTGATCTAACAAGCTGAAACAAACTGTTTACATTTGATAAAAATGGTGCAGCACTGGTGAGAGGGATTCGGAAAGATAAGAGAGCGAAACAATAAAGCACACTGACTACACCCTGGCTTCCTTACATGTTGCTATCCACTGTTTACCGTCCTGATTTCTGTCGCACTGGTGACATCCTCAAAGCTAACCCTGCGTAATGGTGTCACCAGTCACACAAGGGCAATGCAGCTTGCCAGCTAGGGGTTAGACCCAGCTTTTTTAGTCAGCAGGAAGGAAGCCAAATCCCGATTGTTAGCGGGTCGACCCATGTTTGAAAAACCTGGGTAAACTCGCTAAATACAGTGGGAAAGAGCCTAGAGTAATAGAAAAGGAAGACAATGAATTAGTCGGGATTCCTATTAGCCAGGTACTACAAAGCCTGGGGCTTTCAATGGAAAAGGGGCTTTTAACGAAACACTGATTCATACCTCTGGTGTGTAAACAAAAACAACTTGGTATCCTCCTGAGATGAAAGCTCTGGAAATAAAGATGAGGACTGTAAGAGCTATCCTGGAAGAACAAGAAGAAGCAGAAGGTAAGCAATGGTGCAGGTTTCAAAGTGCTAGTTTGCTGCTGTTGTTTCCAGAGAACAATCTCACCTCCCAGTGCAGGCAAACAAGGGCAGCATAAACAAAGAAAACATGAAAAAACAAATCGCCATGCTTTTCTTCCTGCCGAGATAATCGACTGCAAAAAGGATGACCAACAGACCTGGGATAAAAAAATAAAATAAAAAAAATGATGAGAAGTTTAGCCGATTAACATTATGTTATGTGTGATACGCAATACAGCCACATTATAATTCAGTTCAAACCTACACCTCAGAAAACAGATACTGGCAAGAATGTTACCTGGGAACTCTGCCAAGGTTGTCCATAAAAGATCCTTGTAGTCAGCGGATGTCAAATATTTACATTCAAGGCTACACCTTGGTTCAATTTTGGCTCCCTGTGTCACTATAAGAAAGAGGGGCAGTTTTATTTCTTTGCATGTTCACATTAAAAAAAAGATTCACCTGATTATCAGGCATGAAGACTGCACACACCTCCACAGGAGTCTCCTGCTTGGAACAGCTCAGTGGTCAGCAAGACAATCCCATAGTAAGAGAAGGCATTTGAAAACCTTTAGTGGAAAGTAAATAACCAGGAACAAATGTTAGATTTTAAAATTAAAGCAATACATTAGAGCATAGAGCTGGGATCAGTGAAATAAATAGTAATTTAGTTTTTTTTATTATTTCTTTTGCCCCTCTTTATCAAGGATTTTATCATTTTTATTCACAGTCCACCAGTCTTTCATGACTGGCTTTGGGAAGACAAAACCAATAAAGTGAATGAATACTTGCTTAAACCACTCAAAACCAGGCTGTGGTGGGTTTTATGCATAAGTGTCTTGTTTAAACAGGAAATACTGTTTAAGTTTATATATTTACCGTGCATTTGACGTGAAGCTAAAAGCGAATATTCCTCTGTCTTCATTATGCCACCAGCTGGTTCTATTCAGGACAATACTACCACCGCCGTGCTTGACAGCTGGGACAATGATCTCCGTGTTTCTAAGCCTCAAACATAAATGTTATCATTGATGTAAAAAGGCTAAATCCTAATGTTTTGTTTCTGTTTTCTATGAGAACATCTGCATATTTAATTTATGTTATATAAATATGACTGTATGATCTGGTTGCATTGTCTCTGTAAAGTGCCCTAAAGTGACATGTGTTGTGAATTGGCATTATATAAATAAACTGAATTGAATTATATGAAATAAAGATCTTTTAAAACCTTAAAGACATTCACTCCCCTCCTATAGCTGTAAGCCTGACTTATGAATGTCACAGCTCTTTTTGGATTCAGGGATCAGCAATGCAAGAGAGTACAGAACACAGCTAGGGATGAAACTCAGAGATTCAAGGCCCAGTTTTTGCTGTCAGTTTTCCTTTTAAATAATTACAACAAGTTCCAGCCAAGCCCATCTGAATATTTCCAGACATCTGTGTAGTTACTATTGTAAAAAAGTGTGGTTTAAGAAGGCTGCATGCTCCGTTTGTTCAGAAGACATGTGGAACGCATATCTGAAGGTCTCTCAATGTGATGCTCTGATTTTGCAATATCAGTAAAACAGACTGAATCAAAATCCTCACTCATCTTTATTATTTAAGAATTTCTTTACACCAGCTGCAAGCCATTAGTCTCACCAAAACTGGTGGCTAAAAGCAACCTAAAAACGCAAAATCTGAAGATAAAGGATATTTGCACTTTAAAAAAAATAAAGTCCTTTGCCTATGCAACAAGATAATCTTTGCTTGAAAAGGTTTCTTCAATTAAGATTGTAGTGCAATTTCTTACACCCAAGTAAGAAATGTATTGGAGCCAAATATGTGTATTTTTTGTTTCTTTTTATTTATTTATTTATTTATTTTTTGTTTGTTTTGTTGGTGATCACTAGATGGGGCTGTCGGCTTCAATATATAAATGAAGAGATGACAGGTAATTGACAGGTGTTGAATCCGGAAGGGCATACAAGTTTTTGACCGCTGTGGCGGAGTCGTTGTTATCCCTGTGGCCGTGCATTGTGTAATAAATGATTTTCTGCACAAAATGGTTCATCTGGCTGGAACAACTTATGTACTGCAAGAGGATCGTTTGAATCACGTTTACACGCGATCGACAGGTACGTTAGCCGCCAGGCGCGTCATAACAAGCAGCAACGGATCAACGCAAAATAGTGCAGTGTGAAGCTGGCTATAATAAAATTAATTCTTAAAACAACAAAAAGTATCTAATACTTTATAATATATTGTTTTCTTATCCTTGTAATAATAAAATAATTTGCTTTGTTGTGTCTTCCAGTTTACGATGGGCTGATATCTTTTACTTATCTTTCATCAGTGAGTGACACCTAGATTTTGGTAGAAAATTGTTGCCGTACATTGTGGTTGTGGCTCAGATGTATAGTATTACAGAAAATAAATTCTAACTTGTGCATACAATTACCATTATGTGAAAAAAAAAATATTTTCATGATGCGTGTAAGGTTCCAATAGAACCTGTAGATGTATCAGCCCTGTGTTTCTCCCACTTTCAATGTGCTATGGCAGCTTACAGTGGGAATGCTCATTAAAACATTGTTACAGGATAAAATAAACCAAACTAAACTAATATTTCCACATGACTGCAAATAATTTATATTTCCTCATCTGAACAGCTACAGAGTGAATAATATACATGACATACAGTATCTGACAGAGATGTCAAACTCAAGCCCTGGAGGGATTGGTATCCTGCTGCTTTTAGATATCTCCATGGTCCAACACATCTTAATTAAATGGTTTAATTACCTCCTCTGTTGAAGTCAAGTTCTCCAGAGTCCTACAAAGGACCTAATTCTTTGATTCAGGTGTGTTAAAACAGAGAGATATATGAAATGTTCCAGACTTGGGCCTTTGAGGACTGGATTGTGACATCTGTAATCTAACAGTTGTTAAAAGTCATATAAATATTGTCAGAACAAAACATATTAATTAATCCAACTAACCATATAAACCATAGAAGAAGAGTTGTTTTCCAGTACTGATGAGAAAAAAGATCTTTAAACTGTCCCCGTTCACTCTGAAAGCGAAAAAAAAAGAAGACGGTTATGTAAATATATGAATAGAAATAAGCTATCCTTTGAGCACAGCTTCGTCTCAGCCTTGAGGAAACATTTCTGTTTAACCTTACCTGTTTATATTCAACCAGCGTTCCCCGAGGCATTTCTTTACCATTCTCTCGAGCGATGCGAGTCAAAGTCGCAATGGCCTTTTCTCTTCTTCCTGACAGCACATCAAAACGAGGACTTTCAGGGAGCCACTGTGTGACACACATGAAGGTACCTCAGAGTCTACAGATGGCCCCTTCTGCTACAGCGACCTCCTAATGTCATCAATTATACTTACAAAGCAGAAAGAAACAAAGATTCCTATTGGAATAGCGGAGAGACCGAGCAGCCATCTCCAACCCAGAGTGGGCATTACCCACAGGGCAAGCAGCACCTCAAACACAGCGCCAATGGCCCAGAAAGCCTGAAGAACATAAGTGCATCTGTCAGAAATGATTCACATGGTGTAATGTGTCTCAGCATCAATTTTGGTTTAAAGTTTGATAAAATGCACAATGACAAACTCCACCTACGGCAATGAGCATGATGCAGATGCCCCTCGCTTTAACTGGAAGGAATTCTGAATACAGAGTCACTCTAGGAAAAAAAAAAGAGAAAAACAGGAATACTTTTGTTGAGCAAACAAACCTCTAATGTATCTCACTTTCTCAAGACAGATAAAGGAAACCTACGATTGAGGCGCTCCTCCGATGCCAAAACCTACAAGGCCTCGAAGGAACAACAACCAGCCGTAGGCTGGACTGAAGGCGCTCAGGATGCCGTAGTACAGAGTCCAACACATGCAAACTGTCAGGCCCTTTTACCACAAAGACCAACAGAAAAAACAAACAAAAACATGAGCTACTAAAAGGAATCAAATCCACTTTAAAAAGCCAAGCTTGTCATACTTACCACTCTTCTTCCGTACTTGTCGGCCACATTACCCCAAGCAGGAGAGCTGAGCCCCATCCCAATGAAGACAACCTGATAGTCAAAGATATAAAAAGAAACTTTAAAAAAGAATTACAACATTTACACTCTCACCAAGTTCTAGAAAAGCACAGAAAGGATCTTTACTGATGTTATGAGCGCCACTTGATAGCTGGGAAGCCTCCACTCACAGTGAAGCTGGGGGCCAAGGATGCTGAGGATCATCATCTCCATGGCATCTCCGACCTGACGCAGGTGAACATATGAGACACATGCAGGGTCCAGATTATGACAGAAACGTGTTTGAGCATCATGAAGGAGGCCTACCCATGCAAGTCCTGTAAGGAGCGAGATTTTCCACTGAAAGACTCCAAATCCAATCGCTTCCAGAGCATCGTCCACTGTAAATGTTTCTGTGAAAGGTAAAGGGAAAAAACAGAATGATCAGTGTCCTTTGGTCAGATACTTTACTTCCAGGTATCCTTTTCTTTTAATTTCACAATAATATAAATCCAGCTGTTCAATAAAGGTCCTTCAGGGTTAGTAAATGATCATAGAGAACAAATGACATCATTAAGACCAAGGAAAAAAACAGGCCAGTCAAATATAGAGTAGAGAAGAAGTTCAATCAGGGATAGTCTAAATGAAAGATAACCTTCATTTAGTTCAGTTTACCAAGCAAGAGCAGGTAAACATTACCAACAGGTAATGGAACATGGTGCTCTGCTCAAATGGTAAATATCTATTTTAGGCCTTTAAGGGAATCATATGTGTGACAGAAAACTGACACTGCACAACACCATAAATTCACCATATGCACAGTAAAACACAGCGGTGGCAGCATCATGCTGTGTAAATTTTATTGTTGAGCAGAGACCTGGAAGCTGGTCACAGTTGATGTAAAGGTGTGAAAACATTTTACAGACTGAAACATCTGCATGTCACCATTTCTAGATGTTTCTTTGTAAAAAACATTTAAAGTGATCAGTCTTTCCACTTCACTTACCTGAGTTACTTTGATTCCCTCTGTCACTTATCACAAATGAGCTTGGGGTTTAAACATGATGACATGTCTTTTATATGATACTGTATGTGGAAAAGGCTTTACAAAGGATCCAGTGGTATAGGCTAAAAAAACAGACTGACACACTCATTTGCACAACATTTAACTCTAAACCCAAGTTTTTTTTTGCGATAATACAAAATGCTGTTACTCTCATATTTATGAGACAAAAAATAAAAAAAGCATGGGTTTTATCGTGTAGTATTATGATGATGTTCCAGAACTTGGCAGCTGGCCGACTGAACAATATGGATTCCCCTATTAAAGGCAAACAAATCAGCAGGCTAACTTTAGAGCATTGATCTTTTTTTTCCCAGTTATAGATCCAATTCTATAATTAAACACTAAAAGAGCCCATTGGTTATATAAACTGTTCTCATACTTACCGACTGACTTGTAACCAAGATTATTCTATTTTACATTGCTTTCAACAATCAGAGGGCATCCCAACCAGCTGACTGTTCAAACGTTGCATTCAAAGACATAAGTCTGTGTAATTAGCAGGTAGGCTGTACAAACCTGTAGTTTTATTATTTTCAGAGTTGGTTGCAGACTCTCTGCCTCCTGAGTGAACCTTTGCTGAGGCAATAGTGCAGATCTCATTATCTGTGGCCTGGTCTTCATCAGTTTGACCCACAAATTCTCCCCCATCTCTAAGTTTCAGCAACACAGAAAGAACACATTCAATCATTAAAATTATTATTTCACAGTGGGCTATATCACAGTTAAATAAGAATAGTATGCTCAAATGATGCAATCAAAAGGCATTAGCTCTTGAAACTTTGAAAGCACTTTTGATTTTTTAAGAATATGGCCTGTAGTATCACCTTCCAGTGAATTACAAAGAAAGAGACAGAAAATGTGGGTTGTTGTTACCCTGGTTCAGGATTACTCCAGCGCCTGTAAGTAACCTTAGCAGATCTGGTCCAGCTGTCCATTTTGAAAGTCCTTCTGTTTACAGCAAGGCGTAGAACTACAGCTGAAGACAAACCGGTCATTTGTTGTCAAACCTGCTGGTGCAGTCGCTTAAGGTTTCAATGGGGCAACCAATCAGTGAACGATACCTGCAGAAACAGAGGGGGGCGTGGTTTCACCAGGAAACAAGAGTGTTGGAATTCAGGTGCGCCCATAATACAATAGGCTTTTTATTTATATATTTATTTTTTAGAAAAGTAATTGCAGTAATTGTTCTAGATAAATGCAATTACTTTGCATTTATTGCATTTTAGATAAATGCAATTACAAAGTACCCTAGAATTAAAAATATTTTGAGACTAAAATAAGAAAGAAAGAGCCGGATTAAAACTTCTTATAAAAATACAAATATTTCTACAGTCATAATAGTAATTATGTCTGTATGTATTTAAAAGACTATAAGTAATAACTGCTTCTCATTTCATTCTCCTAACAACCAGAAAAAACAATATACTTTTTGCTGCTTTCCTGTTTATTTATCTTATAATCTGATATTGCAAAGATACAGGTGTAACTAAACACTAATTAATGGTTCTTTTCTGTTTTAACTTGTATACAAATACATAAAAATATGAGTTCACTACAAACATACGTTTCAAATCCAAAAATACAGTGTTGTCATTAAAAAACATGTCATATGACACCATTTTGCATGCAGGCTACGGTTTATCACTGAGTGTCATAACACACGATAGACGGTAGGTGGTGCTATTACCCAAATGTTTTTTTACTGAAGTGATCTGTTGTCAATTAGTGTTTCTTTCTTTTTACATATTTGATACTTAATTATCTTATTGGCATAAAAAAAAATTGTTGGTATTTTCTGCTACTTTGGAATATCTGTCATAGTCTTTTCTAAACCAACCCAACCTTAATTTTGTCTTTGTAACAATCACATTCTGCTGAGCTTTTTGTCCAAAGCTCATATTGTGAAACAAAAAAATATTTAATCAGGGATTAAGAGCATTTCTCATGTAATTATATTCCCTGTGGCTTTTGATGAGCACCTGAATCCTTCAGTCCTCTTTCTCCTTGTACTTTAGGAGTAAGGCCAGGTTTAGAAAGTAGGACATCAGAGGACATGCTGAGGCTGCGGCATGGACAGTCATAAATACAGGACAGGTGGACACAGCACAGCCCTCTGTCCTAATATCAGCTACAGACTCACACTAAAACCAGTAGTGCAGTAGTGCTTAAAGAGAGAAGCTCAAGATGGAATCAAAGGTAAGGTTTGATGTCCATTACTGTTTGCATAAAGTTTTTAGATAAAGAAAGAATTTTACTCTGATGTTCGATTTTCAGTACAGCAAAGTTTAATTTGTTTATAGTACTTCTGTAACATTTTTTTCTTTGGTAAATGCACCTCTCCTGAAACTAACCAGGGTCCACTTCCATCACCAAGCTGTTTCTCGCATGAATAAGGATTCAGTTGGTTGGGACATGCAAGACTGGGAGCATTAAAAAAAATGGTTTCACTATTTAGACATGAGACTATATTAATCCCAATGATTAAAGAAACATTATACTGTCTACGCTGACGGAGAACTTAGGCTTTTTAGAACAGTTTTTTCCTCAGGTGTTATAACTGTTGAGCCCTGAGGGTTTAATAAGCAATTACCACCTGAAAGTACACAACTGAAATAAATCAAGAATAGTTCCACATCTATTAGGGGATCATGTAACCTTTTGGTACTATTGTGAAAGTATGGGATATCATAATAATTTTTTTATTAAACCACTATTACAGTTGTTACTTTGCCTGATTTATTTGTGTTTAAAACAAGGAAAAAAATATTCTGCATTATCTACATTTTTTCAAAATGAAAGTAAACAACACTGCTATTACAGGGTCTGTAAGGTTTAAGGTTAAATGGTTGTATATCTAGTTTGTTTCTGCTTTGAGCTCTATCATCCATCCATCCATCCTTCCGTCCGTCCGTTCGTCCGTCCATCCATCCAATGTGTAAGTATTACATAATGGATTACATCATGTTAATGAGGATTTTTTCCATCCTGCTCTCTTGTGTCACTATGTGGTTTTCCCAATCATGAGGCTGTAATTTAAGATAGCTTTGTTGATGCTTACAGGAAGCAATGTTAAAATTTAAACAAATGGTATTAGACCACAAGACCACATTGCCTGAGATGGCTGACCTCACCAAGTGAAAAAGAAAGGGTTGAGGTTGCAGATCCGTTGATAGTGTTGAACAATGATAACTGTTTCCAGTTTCTACTTCCTGCATATCTAGTTTTCTGTTGCCTTGATTAAAATATTATCTTAAAAGTATCATGTCCAAAAAAAATACTATAATTTTTCTTTCTTGCTGAAGCCAGATTTCCCTTTTTTCCCAGATTTTGATAATCAACTTTATAGCATGTATTTGATAATGCATTTAGAAAAATTAATTAAAATGAGACCTTTGAATTGAGTAGTTTTTTTTTAAATTTGTTAACTCTAGTAAATTCATTTACAATGCTGAAGTAGTCTGTTACCTTCTAGTTTTATAACATTGCAGGTAATTACTTTGAAATACATCCATCTAATCAAAGATCAGTAACTGAATACCTTTCCGGTGTGTATTGAGGAGGAGGGTGAGAGTGGGTCTCTGGTTGGATCAGGTTACAACAACCTTGTATTACATACTTGCACCGACATAGACATAAAAACACTCACACACACACACACGTTATGTCCCCCCCTCCCACACACCCCTCTTAAACACACAGTTCAACACTCAGGTAAAGAGCTGAATGAATGTTTGCTGCCTCAGCTCCATTAATGTTTGAGCAGCCCCCTGCTTCCATAACCAGGTGGCCTGTTACAGTATAGCTACTGTCAAAGCAGGGGCAGTAGCCAAGCTGGAGGCAGCAGTTACTCCCCTTTTCTGTCCTGGATTGTGCTGCCAGGTCTTTTTTAGGGCAGTATTGCCTTTTATATATAAAGCGTCAGAAGAGAGAATGAATTAAACACTTCTTAGACTTGAGGAGGATCAAATATGGATTATAATTTCAGATTTTAAAGCCGTTGCTGGATTGTTTCTGCACACCTGTGTACACCTGGACTGAAGATCATCACTGAAGGTTGATTCAACCATGACACACAGGGCTTTGGAAGTGAGGGAGGTAAATTATTTTATATAGTATACCTAATAGTATGAAACGTATGCTAACACCTTTTAAAAAGATCTTGTTCAACAAGTCCTTTTATGTCATGATGCATGTTTTTTTTAACAGCCTGCATCTTATCCTAAGAGCACATTAAGCCCTACTTACTTAAAAGGGAACTGATTTTTTAAATAAAATAAAGTGACCAGAGAAAGGGTAAGTAAGAAATGTTAAGCCTAAAGACCTCTCTAGAGCAGACAAATAGAGTCTGAGGTTAAAGAATCAAAATAATGAGCGCTAAATTGATTGCATAGGCAAAAAAAGAAAAAGAAAAAAATTGTGTGTGCAACATGTAACCATGTTTATGGTAATCTACCAATAAGAATTCAACCAGAATTTAACTATTAAATTTTGTTACCACTGGCAGTTTACAAGTGGCTGTTAAGGACATTGGAAGTTCTGCCATGGTGTTAGAGATAATGATAATAATTACTAATAATGATGATAATCAAAAGCATTATTTATAGCGCAATTTACTTGCAAGAGTAAAAGAAAATAAACATCTAAAAAGGGCAATTTTAAAGATAAAACAAAAAAACAATTGGAAAATTTAAAAAAGTTGACCTTGTCAGCTCCTGGATCCAACCACCCCCTGACAGAAAAGGAGCCATGGTCGGATTATGAGCCAAAACATTAAAATCTAAACAGCTGGATTTACCTCCACCAACTGTTTGTAACACCTGCTTCACCCAAAATATTGCAAACCAAACTGGATTGGACTTGTTTAATAAAACATCACTGTGCTTTATTTAGAGCTCATAAAGGGAGAAAAAAATCCCTCTTGCAACAAGTTAGAGATGCCCACTTCTGGCTGGTGCACCGGATGATGGTTGCTCACTAGTGGCTGCCAATATTCAGTGTTGTTTTTTCAATAAACATGTAAAAACACATTTACACACAATGTGAAGAAACTAGCAGACGGCATGTTGGAGAGGTACTTTGTGTCAATCTCCAGAAAAGCAGAAGAGGAGATGTCTCCTTTTATGAAGGTATACCTGCTGTTTTGCAGTGTGTCATTATTGTAGTAACCATAGAAACATGCATTATTTAAGTTCAGTCACAATGTTTTTCATTTCGGTTTAATTGTGTAAAGATGGTCTGCTGTCCGTCTGCATTAATCATTAATCATGCATTCATCAACTTGTGCAGATGTATTTTTTCCTTCAGTACTAATAATATTTTACTATTTTTATTATTGACATTTTATTCATGTTTGGGTTCTGGAACCCAGCACTATTAGGTTAGTATTTTTGCTTGTCAGAGTGGTATTTCATGAAAACTCATTAAGTGTTCTCAGACAAGGAAAATAGAGACAATTTTAGGACCAGAAAAAGCTTTATTGCCAAGTTGGGTTTTGTACTATAGTATAAGGAATTTGCTCCAGTAATAAGGTGCTACACAGAAAGACATATAGGTAACATAAATAAACAACGAAACTTCTACCAAAGTGAAGAGTCTGAAAAAGTTTGTGTCCGGGGTGGGAGGGGTCAGCTGCAATCTTCCCTCCTCTCCTCCAAAATCCTAGAGGTTTACAGCTCCTGAGAAGAAGGAAGACTGCAGCCCAACACCTTCTCTGTAGAGCGAATGATATGCTGTCTTTGTCCCTGGTGGTGGCAGCAGCATAGCAGATGGTGAAGAAGGAGAGGATGGATGCAGTGATGGTTGATTAAAACTCCCCCATCGTTATCTTTGGCTGGTTGAACTTTTTCAGTTCTATCATCCCTGCAGCAGCTGAAGGGCAGAAGTCTATTTTTACTGCTGCATCCAATATTTTAAGATTTTGTTACTTTGACCCCTTAAAAGTAAAGAGCTCCATGTGGGTGGTGTCAGTCTGGTGACTGGAGGTGGAACCGTTTACTGTTTATGGTG